GAATAGCGGACAAACACTTAGAACATCATCATAAACAAATTGATGTTCTAAGTGTAGATGTTTGGGTGATGTTCGAAATGTGGTTCCCCGACTTCACACTTAGAACATCTACCCGTGTTAAATGTCGGAGGAATGTTTTCCAAATGATGTTCTATGTGTTTCGACCCATATATTTTTCGTTTCTTATGACATGCCCATATGCATTTCAAGTGTGCATGTTCGCACGTAACAGGTCCTTACATGATCTTGCACAATTCCTTATGCGAAAATTTTGCGGAAATTCGGGTGAAATCCTCCCCGGTATAGGTCCTTCAAAAAAAATTAGGGAAATCCTTCTGAAAACATCACATCCGTGTAAGAGGATCGGAAAAAATAAAACTTTCCGGTATCCGTGCATGACTTGTACGGGCCATTCCGCGAAGATCTTGTTCCAATCCTCCCTCCAAGACTTCGCATTAAGATCTTGAGGATGTTCTGCATGATCCCGCGCCAGTCCTTGTCAAAAGATCTTGCGGAAATCCTGGCGAAGTCCTTTTGATGAGATCCTCTCTAAGAGGTCCTTGCGTGAAGATCTCGCAAATACTATGTCATAGAGGTGCTTCTATGAAAGCTTTTGCAAGGTTCTTAAGAAGGTTTTGTATCAGGATCTTGTCAGGTCTGCTCCAGGCCTTTTTCAAAATGATTTTGTTACATTCTTTTTGTCCTGGCAGGAGGATTCTGGTCACCGTCTTTCGTGACAAGATCGGGTGGGGATCTTGATGAATGCTGCCAAAGGCCTTTGCATGATCTTGCGCAAGTCTTCGTGAAAAATTATTGACGAGATCCTGTTGAAATCCTCGTGGTCCCTGCATTGAGGTCTTGAGGATGCTCTGCATTGGTGCTTGTATGGCCGTCTATCTGTGATGCTCATGGGACACTCTTGTATGAAGACTTGTGAAATTTGCTGTATAAATCTATAGAAGGTTCTGCTGCTGAAGTTGCAATAATGCCTGGTTCACCTGTTTTTGTTCCATAGTTACTTTTGTTTGTATCTGGTACATTGTTTTCCTACCCCCCACGCCGCTTGGGGTCCCTTGCCGATGTTGGTTTCTGAAGCGGGCGACGATCGAGGAAAATGTGGTGGGAATGTAACGAAGATTATGCCATGGGCGGTGTGGCCATGGACGGCATTGTGAATCGTTTTCCGGCATTTTTCCCAGACCAAGACCTGGCCCGCCTGGCGCGTCACTTGCACTTGGGGCACGCCTCTTTCTTCCGCAGGGGATAGGATCCCAGGGTTCGAAGCCAATGGGTAGTACTTTTTGTGAATAATTTGGTGACATGCTGACTTCTCCAGTTACGACCGCTAAAATGGGATGGCAATTCGTAACGGGTAGTGGTTTTTGTCAACAATTCATCGCTGACATGTAGATTTTCCAAATTTTTGTGACTGCTGAAATATGCTGAAATGACATGAAATTCGCGATGGACAGTAGTTTCTGACAACAATTCGCTGACATGCTAACTTCCCAATCCTGTACGACCAAATTAAAGGGGAGTGAGAGCTGGAGAGCACTCATAAAATTGGAGGGGGAGTAGTGTGGAAAATCAAAATCTGAGCCCTCAGTCACGTCGAAGATACAAGTTCATTGGCCATGTCCCTTTGCACAGATTGTGCAACACTATATACATATTTTGCGCCCTTCTTGCGCCTGTGACGGGAAAACGCATCGAACATCAAGAATCAAACATACGATACGTCTCTATTTTTTTTTACGGCGGGGGTTGTTCGACTTCCACATGTAAAATCCATGCTGGCCGCACGACCCTTGACAAACAACTACAGTATCCGGTTTCGTCTTATTGTTGCATTGGAAACAAATAGAGTAGCCAGAACACAAGACATGGCGCAATGGCCGCCCTATAAAGTAGTTGGCGACGCCGCTTTGCACAAGCCATTGTCCCGGTACGCGTGTTGTAGTACGTATTGTACTTTCCAGTGCCCAAACAGATTTCATAGGTGTAGTCATCTGCGCTGGTCAGGTCCAAAAGAATTCTCTCCTGCTGACCTGCCGTGATGACGGTATAGTCAGGACACATCGGGAGACAAAAAGTGCGGAAACATAGACGGTTTTGCCAAGTCCGGTTTTACGGAATTGGTTCAGAAAAATGAAACGTTATCTGTTGTTTGACCTTTGATGTTTTTCATCAACTATATAATATGGCACAACAAAACCGTGCCTTCTGCCCCCCTCAAACGTAAGACTCTATTTTGAAGGCGCGTTACCGGCGCAGGGTAGTTTGTGCAGTTAAAGATTTTGGCGCCATCTGGTTTCCTTCAAGTATTGCTTGCAGTGCTGTTGTGAAAGCCGCAGTTTGTTTTGCAGCGTTCAATGTACCCAAACAATCTGGCGAAGCTTGCCATACGATACGTACATCTCTGATGCTTGGCGTACTCGATTGTGGGAGCCTGCCGGTTTTGATTGGCCTTCCCCTTTGGTGTTATTAACCATGTGCCACCTTTCAAACAATATAGCGCCGCTGCGTGATGACCCCTTGCAAAGATGAACTTTGCTGCGGCATCCAAGTGGAAACGCACTGGATGACAGATGCAAAAGCGAAATTGTTGATGCATGTGAACTCTTCCGGGTCACTTGTGTGGTCCTTGATATGAGACTGAGCGAAGCGATAAAGACTTGGTGCTACTTGGTGCTAAAATGTTCTAAATTTGTGAACATTGACTGTGCCATCCTACAATCCTACAGTGACTTGCGCACCCATCCCCCCTTCAAATTATATACAGTACCTTAAATGCATCCATGTGTACCTTATGCACCTACTGGAAGAAATTCTTGGCACTGTGGGCCCGATGTTTCAAGGGTGGTTGTTGGCGATAACGAGATCGAGCTCATCTACAGCATCCGCAGAATTCCGCAGACAGGCTTTAAGTCGCGCAACCGCTACGATTTTGGGCACCACGATGTAAGGATGCTACAATGCCATGATGCTACTACCTTTGCATCATAGTTATTAGTTGTGACATTTCCACCATTTGCAGGAAGGCAGGAAAACAAGCAATCAAAAACATCAAGTTGTGGCACCCAGTGCACAATTGAGGTCATTGGAAACTCGACAGAACAGGCGCCATTGGTGTCAGCAAGCGCGTCTGAGATCGACTAAACGATATTCTCCCACACACGTAGATCATCTTGTTATAATTGAATAGGACACCGACCTCGAGCGCCTGAAGTTGAACACATGGCAATTTGTGTTGTGCAACTTCATTAGGTCATGGTGGTGTGGTGCTATTGCGGTGAGCAATGTTTCGCAATCTTCGGTTGTGTGAGGCTGCAGAACAGTATACTAACTGGCGGGGATTTGGGTGTTGGGGAAGGATCGAACATACATACATACCCCTTGCATTTTGCAGAACAGCACCCAAATCTCAAAATTCAATGACATCTTTTGCTCAGCAGCTGTTCCGGGCATGATATTGTTGAATGAAATGCACATCCTGCTCCACAACGCTCTGCGTACATGGATGCCTAACCCGCAACAAAAACCCAGGCTACTGTTTGACTCCCAGTCGCTGTGCAATGCATGACCGGTGCTGATGTTGTGACTTTTCCCCTTGAAACGTACTTGACCAAGCCGACAGCAGCACAGAAAGAGCATACCGACTCGAAAGGGCCACTTGCGAGGCACCCACAGGACCAAAAAAAAATACCAGTATACATAATTATACATAGTATATAGATGTATATAGTATAACATAGTATAACAGTATACAAATTCACAGCACATCGCCATGTTCCGCACATCACTTAATGGTGTAGTCATAGTTTTATGTGCCACGGTTTCTTTGATCTAAAGCGGAACTGTCAGTTGCAAGAAGTCAAGCAAATAACCGTTCGCAAAGTGGGTGTGAGGTCGTCAAACCTTGTCGTGTTCTCGTCATCTTGCGTCGTCCGGCCCTACCGGAATAATGTTTGGAGTTACAGTTAAAACACACATCGTTGCTGAATCCTGCTTCAAACATAGACGCAACGCTGCAAATATAGGAACCATCTGGGGGTGGATTGCAGGCACTGGAAACAATAAAATTCGTGTGCAGATGAAACCGCTTCAAGAAAGGTTCTCTCAGCTTTGGAAGCCAGAAACAAATACGCAGACTTGCACACATGGGATTGGTGCTTTGCCTCTGATGGGAAAGGAATGCCACACCCGAGGGATGTGTGCGATTGGGGAAGAGCACCATCCAAAAGAGGAAAGGAAGAAGAGAGCAAACCTTCCTGCGCATTGGAGGTCAAGAATGAGCAAGCTTGGAGTCTCTAAGCCCAACCTTCAACTTGAAGAGCATGTCTTGTCAACTGCATCTTGCGCAACATAGAGGCATACCAGGCAAACATATGCAAAACTGCGATATACGCAATTCCCTTAGCAATAGCCATCGATACGCGCCGTGTCATTGTCAAGCTTGGAGATGGTGCCAAAGTCTAAAAAACCGGGAATCAACTTTTCTCACTGCCTGGAACGCTCCTTTTGCATCCTTTTGCCTCCATCTTTGTGGCGCAACACCCATCAATTTGTGGTGAGACGTTCTAATGTAGACATTGGCAGTGGAAGATTGCGGGGTGGCTTCACTATGCTTCACTTGCCTCGACCGCAAGCTTCTCTGCTGCAAAATCAACCAAAGCAATTGCCCGTTGCTGTTTTTTTTATCAAAGCTTGCCATCGTAGAAAGTAACCATGAAAATATCTAGCAGTTGCAGCCGTCGAAAAGGGTCATGCGCTGGTGCAGCATAGAAAGTAGCGTGGAGAAACTTCAGAAAAAAAAATGCCACAATGGCATCCGCTGCTTGTAATCATCTAAGCCAAAGACTCATTGATTCATCGTTGTGTCCACGTGGACCGGCGGTAACTGCGCAAAGGCACACACTAATCAATACACTACACACTATTGTTCCATGCAAATTGGAGTTTTCTAGAAAGGCTGTGCATCTTCCTACTTACGCCTGTCTTCAAGATATCACTTGATTCGTGACAGGACATGCCTTGAGAGCAGCACGTCGACGCTCGCTATCTTCACCTGGAAGCCGGCCAAGAACAGTTCTCACTAAGTCACCCTGGTGAACATGACATGGAGACTTCGTGTCATCCATTCCAACCTATGCTTGAGCTCCGGCAACAAATGCTGAAGCGGCAGGTAAAGATCAGGGTCCGTCTGGAATCCATTCGCTGAGGAGTGTGCTACAAATCTCCTTGAGATACGCCGCCTTGGAATCCGAGTGGTAGAGAACTCACAAGTTGAAGCCTCATCACTCGGTGCATATCTGAGTGACGAACCCAAGTTTGGAAATCAGCCGGATCGTTAAACCTTCAAAAAGTGGCATGCCAATGCCAACAAATGATTCACACACAGAAACAAACAGAACATCAGGAATGAGCATAGCACACCATTTGAAGCGGCGCAAATAGGCAGTTGGCCGGATGAAAAATGCTATGCCGATTCGCAAACTGTGAGTCACTCTTTGCCTCATCACCAGCTCAGGTGCCTGACATGATCTGATGCCAATCTTGCAGTCCACGCTGTGCTGGTGACTCCCCAGGGAATTGATTAAGAGTAGCACAGAAACGTAGGATACCCTGGGCATGGATGTTGCAGTGTCCCCTGCTTGGCAAGCAACCTACGCAAGTAAACTTGATGTCCACATGACATTGCACTGTGTTTTTTTCGTCCTGCATCGCCCTGCCCCACACAGGGGCAATGCAAACGCTGGAATGCATCCATTGCGGCACCCACCTCCAACACCTGAAAGCGGCCATCACCCAGAAGCAAGCAAAGCCTTGGCGAAGCTCCAGCATGCACCAAAACCATCCGAAACCATCCGAAATCCGTGTCGTGTCCAAACTTTGGGAGTGACCCACGTTGGGAAGTCTGAGCCCAAGACTCCAACCAGTCGTCATCCACCATGGCTGTAGGCCATTCTCCCTCGACTCGACCTTCGCTGCAGAGATCATGTTGACTTCTGAAATCTTCTGAATGATCTTTGCATTGCGGCATTGCGGTGCTCAGCAACATCTCTCCATCTCTCAGAAGCAGGCGAGCCAACACGATTTGCAGTACACGTGCATCGGCCCGCAACAGGGCCGCCTTCCTTCCATGCGCACACGTTTTCATGTGTTTTCCAATACACTATTCACCAGTACTGAACTTGTTCGTTCAATCCAAGTTTCACCTGGCCAAACAGTCAAATGGGTTCGAACAAACATGATCAAACTAAAGGACTTGCTTCAATTCTATCTTTCAGCATCTTTCAACCTAAATATTATGACCAGCCATGGTCAGACCGAATATGTTCAATATTTCATGTGTCATCATATGTCGATCTGAAGGGGTCGATGTTGGGCCCCCCAGCTTCAGCGACACGAAAGCAAAGGGAGCGGTTCCTTCAGTCGACGCAAGGAACAGCAACCTTGGCCCATCTTGGCCCATCTTGGCCCTTCAATTGAACGCTGGTTCTCATTGCATCCGCAACAATTTCTCAAGCATCATATGAAACAAAGATTAACAAAGCACACCGACTAGGCGACTCCTCGAGTAATCTCGAGTGTATCAATCTTGACACTCCAAAGTTGCCTTGGGATCCTTGGGAGCCGCACCATTGATGTAGTCGGAGCCAGGTCATCTCCTCTTCCAAGCGCCCCGTCCTCAATGGCGGTTGAGGTGCCCAGAATCCTTCGCTTTGGTCTCCACTGGGCTTCCCCACCCCCCAGCATCAAATGGCTGGGCAAATGTGGTGAGTGATGGTCTGCAAGTGTCAAGTTCAAGACAGAGGTCGCATTGTTGCTGGAACACCCAGAGATCTCCCAGCACAGTTTTGGCCTGCGACGCTGTTTGTCAGCACCGTTGGGCTGCGGAGACATCCTGAAAGCACGTCAACTGCGGGCAGTCACCACTCAACATGAAGGGCCTGTTACCGGCCTGTTAGAAAATAGGGCACCGCAAATCCCATGAAAAGCCCATCCCCCAGTCTTGGACAAAGCCATGAAACTCAACGAGTCCTGCCCGCTGCAAGCACGCCACCCTCAGCCGCCAAAACATGCGGTGATGCCTGGCACAAGAAGGTTTGTGACCTTGGAATTTTTGGGCAAAGGATCTGCACTGCTCCATGGACTCCATGGACTCCATGGACCTGTGGCCAGTGGGCCAAATCGCCATCGGTCTGAGGACGACCGTGGAAGCGCACAAAGGCCTTGGGGATGCGGAAAAAGAGGACGTAACTTATTTAATACTTATTTAGCCATACAGAAGGAGCGACACATTGCATTCTGCCACCACGTACTCTGGATAATCTCTGGATAGTCCACAGAACATCACCGGAATCGAGTTGGAGATGGGATGTGCTGGTGACTTGCCAAGGTCGTCACCGAACTGTTGAGAGATGGCAGTGCTGGTTTAAACGACGACACTGCTGACCTGACAGCCTCCAGGTGTCGTTTGTACGCATCTGTGGACAGTTGAAACTCCAAGATGTTGCTGCAGATTCTGGCCAAATACAGTCAAAATATATCTAGACAGCATGGTGCGAAGCTGAAGAGTGAGGTCCACACATTCAGCTGAAGCTGTTGGCTCGAAACGGCCTGTCATTCAGCTCGACGCGGGGAGTCACAATCATAAATCATGCTTGAAAGTCAAAAGTCTTCGAAAGCAAGTCTTTGAAAAAAGGACTCATTTGGTTTCGCGAAGGAATCAAGTTTTCTGCGACTATGTGTAAGGCACTGACTCTTTGAATTGCCACACACTACTCAGAAGCAGGCCGAGTATATGCCCATCTGCACATGCAAAGGGATGTCGTTTCCGCAGCCCTGCAAAGAAGTGTCAGCAAATTGCCTTGAAAGATAAAATGGATGACAGGTAGTTTGGAGGCTTCCTGATCTTCCAGATTTTGACCCTGCTCATCGCTTTGAAGCTCAGTGGCCTCGATGCCGGTGTTTAGCTGCACCCATTCGTTGAGCGTCATCTCATGCCCCTCACTGAGCCACCTTCCGGTTGACATCGAGCCCAACCAACTGTAGACTCAACATGACTCAACATGACCCAATATGGCTCAACATGGCTCAACCCACCAACATCTCTCACCAACATCTCTGGCCTGTGAAGCATCAGGGTCGAAAACATCAGCCTAGCATTGACCCCTGGACCGATCTCCGACTCCGATGCCAGCTCTCAGGTGCTCTCAGAGGTCCCGACCGATGGAGGCCATCCGTGCCCAACAAAGCACGCTGAAGCTCCAGGCCAACAAGCTCGCCTCAGGTCAGTCGGTTAGCAAAAAAAAACATGTTTCGATCATAAAATGTGATTTTTTAATACTCAGCAAAGGGATGCAAAGGGCTCCTAGTGGCTCCCAACACTTAGAAATCTTGGGCCTTGTGAAGGATCCTGAGGGTTGAAGGCACCTTGATTCCCCTGCAAGGGTCGAAGCAAAGACAGAGAAACAGGAACGTCAAAGGTGCTTGGAGCTGGGACAAACTATTGAATCAGGGAGTAAAGAAACATCCTTAGTTTATGACGACGAGATGCATGGAGGTAATAGTAAGTCCATGTTCAATCTTCATTCGGCTCAAAACAAAAACCCGACAACATGTTCAATACAAAATTCTGTTGTGGTTCGGCAAAGTCAAAAATCCAGGAGCATCCAGGAGCACCTCAACTTTGCGGTCGTTCAACTCTTCCTGGGCGCGGCTGTCAAACGCTTTGGCCACAACAGAAAGGCACGCCCTTCCCCATCCTCATGCTGCTTCCACCAGAAGTGCGCCACACCCCGGAGAAGCCGATCCACCTTCGGAATCAACGCCAATGAATCATGATCATGTCTCAAAAAGAAGAGGCTTCCTAAAATGGAAAAAAAAACGGAAAATCAGCAGAAATTACAGAACTTAGTGACTTAAGCAACTTAAAGGCCTCAAGGGGAAAAGATCGGAAAGGTGCCGGCTGGACCGGGCCTTGGTCCAGCTCCTTGGAAGCATCAAATCTCGCGACACCGCTTCCAATGCCGAGATGACCTTGGAAGGTTCAAATTTTCGTCAAACCACAAATAGAGTGTGTACGTTTGAACTCTTTGTCTTGCATTGGTTGCATTGTTTCCAAATGTTCCCCTCTTCTCATCATTCTAGGTGTGACAGGTTACAGTAGTTGGAGCTATCGTCCACTTGCCAGTTCCCAACAGGCATCGATAAATCCCTGCACTGAATTCAGAAAGTCAACGAGACGCTGCTGAATCCACCATTAATCTTTACAGTAATATCCAATTCAGAAGCTCCACTTTTTGAAAGTCTCTGGGGTTCCTGCTCCGGTGCCCAGCAGTGGCAAGGAGTTTAGGAACCTGCCAAGCTGGCCATGCAACAAATACCTCGCCCCAACATCTCTCAATGCTGGGCTTCTCAAAAAATGTCTGCATGAACACAAGTTTGTATCCCAAAGATTCATCATGCTGACTTTAGCTAAATATCTCTTGCCAATCTACGGCGCAAGTCAGCCAACGGTTGTTTGCTTGGCCCAATCTCTGCCGGGCCCGCTCGAGCCGCAAGGTTTGAGCCTCTGCACCCAAGTCTCTTTCATGGTTTCCTAGTATAGGACTTTTGTGTAGGGCTTCACGGCATGTTCTTTAGTCCTAGCTCAGCCCCTCAAGGACGTCGTCCCATGCTTCCCCAGTGACAAACTGCCAAATCTCTGAAAATGCTGCGAGCTAAGGCCAGGGCCGTGGGATATTCCTCGCTGAGGTAGTCACCTCAAGGTACCAACGACTTAGCTTCGCCAAATCGAAGCATCCAATTCCAATTTTGGGATCCTGTGTGACATATGTGTGAGCCCAAGGCCCATCTTCTCAGGATCTGCGGCGAGCCTGTAAGGGAGTAAGCACAGTCAGGCAGTCAGGCTTTATTCAATTCTACTAGAGGGCGACGGCAAGCTGAGCCTCACCAGGAAATTGTTGATTTCCACAGGGAAGTCCCGCACAATGCCCAAGGCCACCAGAAAGGCCACCCCGTGGCCAGGACTCCTTGCAGACGCACGGGGATGTTCTGAAACAGTTGTTGCTTCCGCCTGAAATGTACCTAGATAAAATCAACTATATATACTGTGTATATATATATATACATATATGTATGTATATATATGTATATATATATGTGTATATATATATATTAATATATGTATGTATATATATATATTAATATATATATATATATATTATTTGTTCATAATTATATATATACATATATATTAATATATATATATACATACATACATATATTAATATATATATATATATATTATTTATTCATATTTATATATATATATATATGTATATACATATATATATGAATAAATAAATATATATATATATATTATATGTATCTATATATATAACATATATATATATATATATATTGTTGAATGGAAATAGAGCCGCAATGAAATCTGAGCGGCAGGAAAATCTACTCAAAATATCTCAAAATATTGACTGGCACATAATGTCTTTTAGCTCTGTGAATAGCATGTTTTCTGTGGAGTCTATCGCTCAAGTTTCCTCGCTTTCAATGCTGCTGGCTTCCAACGCTGGCTGTGGACATGCCAGTCCTGTTGAAAATGGAAATGCCAAGGTGTTGTAGCTCCTGGTGGCCATCCAGTTGACATCCCTAAGCTCTCCCAACTGAGCTGACTTGACGACTTCTGCAGCCGTCACGCTCTTTTTGGATGAGGACAATGGCAGGGTCAGCGGCTGACAACCGACTGTGGAGCGAGAAACTGCCTGAGAGATGCAGTCACTCTCCAGCTATTCCTATCCAACTAAGCGGCACATTTCGCCAACTTAAGGAGCAGGTCGCTCAAATGGACTTGGAGGATACTGCATCAGCTCTGCAATGCCTGCAATCGTGAAGCTTCAGCAAAGACCAACCCACAACCCCGGCGTCACAACACTGTCAAGGACAAAACCTTGAACAGCAACGTAAAACAGTTTCTTCCCTGGACATTGACCCAAACAAGTTGTTCGAAAATCACATAAACCACCAAATGTGTAGATGTGTCTAGTCCAATCCTCTGTCCACTTTGTCTGCTTCTGGCAGTGGCATGTTGTGGCTGATCACATGGCGGCCTTTGTCCAATCGAAGTCCTGGGCAAATCTGTCCTTTAAATCTTTGCAAGCGTCTCTGTACCTTAATTTCTAAGACTTGCGAAAACTGGCATCAGTCGTGCACTGAAAGCTGAAACTTCCAGTCAGCAAGAATTTTTAGCACCAAAGGCCGAAGGAAGATCTGTCCAATGATCCAGGCAATCGTTTTGAACCGGTCCAAGGCGCTCTTCCTTGCAAGTGTAGGCTCGGTCCAGGATGGTAAGCTCACACCTGATCCAAGATCATCAGGATGATTGGCATCAAAAACTATGAAATTCGCAGTGGGCCAAAATCCTTGACACTCTTAGTGAGGAAACCATGCAAGTGGCAGATTGCCAGTGAATGCTTAAAGTGTGAAATGCAAGACATCTTCATCGAAATCTTTTAGACGAGCAGCATTCCTGCCATTACATGCTGGACGAAATCCTTGGGGAAATCCACGACGTTGTCAATGACATGTGCGAAGCCACCCCCGAGGCTGAAGTCAACGTGAATGTACCTGTGACCAGATGCAGCTTGGGGTTATGAAGAACTCGAGTTTATTGAATCTGGTCACAGGTCTTATTGATTCCATTCTCCCCCTATTCAACCTATTCTCTTTGGCGCCCGAAAGCACCAAAGCCTCGGCCAAACTTCTTGGTTGATTTTTCAAGTGAAGCAAAGCAAGCATGACCTCGACAGAGACTTGAGCAGTGTTACACTGATTGGCTTATACGGATTCCCCAATTGGGATAACCCTAATATATTGGATAGTATAATAGTATAATAATAATAATATGACTGATAGTATAAGCCCCAAACTAATCATCATCCAACAGGGGTTTAGCAGCCACTGCTCACTTGGGATCAACACCATACGCAGAGGGCACGGAAATCCTTTTGGCACAGCGTTCCGCACACCACCCTTGGAGTCAGTCTCAATGACCTTTTTCGGAATCAATAGCATCAATAGCGCCGTTCGGAGCCATTCGGAACTCTGATCTTGGGATGGTTGTTTTTTGTTGAAACCTAACTGACGCTGCCAGAACAAACAGCAAGCAACAAACGATGCTGAGTGATATGGGGAAGATTTGCATTCTTCATTCCAGCCCGCCTTCTTGTGAGAGGTCTCAAACTCATTTTCCGCTTCGTCAAAGGCCTCACGTTGTGCCATGATATGTGTTATGCATATGCTCCAGTCCAACACTGGCCACTTGCCACTCGCCTTCTTCCAGTATGTCCTTGCTTGCACCAGCAAATCCATCCTGCCCAAGGCCGCAAGCTGCAAAAAGAAGTCACCACTGCACTGTGAGAAGCTGAACCTTGTGGAAATCTCATTGAGATTCCAGCTCTATTGGGTAAGCTACGATGCAGCAGTGTGGACCAGCTCCAAGAAGGGCCTTGAAGCGATCTAAAACGATTTGCTTGGTTTTCAGATCTCAACTGATCTCAACCCCATACCTCCAGGAAGAAAAGAGAGGATACGGTACTTCAAGCTCTAAGGGACAAGCATTGACAGTGGTACCGGTGGGATCCGGTGGGTACTATGGTCAGGTCTTAACTGCAGCATTTCTGCTGACGCTACCAATCCGCTTTCAGCACCGGGGTATGCTTCGGCATCCCATGGTGAACAAGCAGTCACGGCATCCGGCCTTATCTCGAGACACTCGGTGCACGGAGGACTCCACAAAGAGCACAGCTCGAGGAGGTTGCTGCAGGGATCGACTCAATGTTGCAGCTGAAACTCACGTCCACGTCATTGATGATGAAACAAGTGGCATTTCGTCTACTTATGAAGCCACTCGTGGTACTTCTTGATTGGGCAGTATGTGACGCTTCATGCAGGTGCCACAAATTTGATGAATTGTTGAAAGCTTTGCTGAACTGTGAAAGGCCTCTGATTCGTAGAAAGCGATGAGGCACTTTTGGTAGTTGCGGATATCCGCCTCATGGCAACATTGCCAGTGTTTGCATACAAAAAAAAAAGGGTCTTAAAATCAAGCCTTTATTGTTTGGACCCCTCGACTCTCTCGATCTGGGCCAAAACCATAGAGCTTGTCTGAGGCGGATACCCAGACTGCCTGCAACTGGACAGGCTCGACAGCAAGACCGGCCCAACGGACCATGTAGAGAAAACCAAGGAAGGTGATGGAGAGTAGTTGCTCTTCCAACTGCTTTCTCTAGGCCTCATCCACCTCTGTCATGGCCATGGTATGGTCTTGTGGGGCGATGACCACCTCAAACAACACTGCCAAAGTTGCTCAGTTGTCAAGATGTCTAGTTATGTCTAGTTGCCATTGTGAATTTCCCACGTTTTATGAACATGTTTTAGTGACTTCCCTTGCAGTTTTTGTATCCACAGTTTTAGTCTTGTTGCACCATGTTGCACCATGTTGCACCTGGCCAGGAACGATGCACCGGTTCATTGCCTCCACACAGAGGTACCTGGATGAAGTTGACAAAAACGGATTTGGTCGACTCAACTGTCACGTCGATCGTGGCTCCGCAGTCGGAGACAAAAAAAAGGGCCAGGTAGGGCACGCATGTGGAGATACGGACATGATGGCATCTTTGCGAAAGAACTTTTTACCTAATGCCAACAGTCCCTTTCAACTTGCCAAGGCAAATGCTCAAGCTGTGTCAATTTGGAAATAAAGTCTAATAAAGTGAATGAATCTTTTGCAGCCACGAAGGGCAAACTCAGGTTTCAGCTTTCCATGCAGAGGTTACATCTCTCCAGGTTCACCTGATCATCTGCGCAATGACCAGCTGGAGCATTGCTGGAGCAGTATTTTTCTGCGTTTGATGCGGAGTCATCTCTGAGTCATGTCTTAGGTGCCTGGATTCGGTTCTTGTCGTTCTTCTCTTGTTTTAAACGCTTCTCAGCTCCTTTCCTGGTCATGCTCCAACGCACACAGCTACCAGCTAGATGTACGTGTCCGACAACCCGCGAAGGTATAACACGTGTGGGACTTGCCTCGCATCCATCTTCTTGTCATTATTCTCGTACCACCCTAGTGCATAAGCCTCCAAAGGAGCTCGGTCTGTGTGGAGGAGGTAACTCTAAATGAAACACTTAATGGCTCATCGTTTCAACCAAATCAAAACATGGTCCAACCACCGCAGAAAATCAAAGTTATACTACTCAGTTTCCAGCACCCGACTGCTTGGAGTTCGTTGGTCAGTTGTGATTCTGAGGTATTCCCATGCCATGAACCACATTCACATAAAAGCCATCCAAAGCGTCAATGAATGGCATGCACAGTCATCATGTTTCGATCTGTAGCTCAAAAGTGGGCTTTAACCCACCAACACCTACCTCATCTTCATCTTCTTCTAGCATCTTGAAGCGGTCACCCTTCTTCAAAATGTGCTTCTCAAAGTTGGAATCGTAATCCTTTGCATGGAACCCAGACTGGTACAGAACCATCCAACTCTATGATCTCCATGTGGACAGGGGATGTCAAATGGTTTCAGCATGCCAACATGGTGATTTAACCCCAGGTAACTGACTAGCTGATTGCTTCAAGTTCAGAGATTCTCAATGCTCACGTGAGACAAAGAAAGCACGAGTCACTCTGCACGTTACCACAGCGGACCATGGCAACCAGGAAAAATGTCTCAGTCATTGCAAGTAGAAACTTTCACAATCTCTACCACTCTACCCTCACACTTTCCTCACACGGTGTCCTGCACCCCTTCTATTCTCTCACGGCGAATGAGCTCGTTGAGGGAGACATCATCATCCTCGTAATAGCCTGAGCCATACTGAACCGTACTGGAGATGTGCAGCAAAGGGCAGGCTTCGGAGTGCAAGCGCTGCTCAACCGCACCTTGAGAGCCTTTCTTGTCTTTGCCACCAGGGACAGCGTTGGCATTGCCTCCCATTGCACTGAAGATTGGTGCCCACTGCACTGGCACATGGTGATGCAGGGGTCTCAAACAAAACAAATTCGGCAAGCCTCTTTTGTTGCGTCCTTTGGTGTGCACAGAAGTTGACTGGACCTTTGGGCCAAAGCAAGTTGAGGAGTGCGACTCTCAACTTTTCAGTGGATCTTTGTTCAAACATCACCACTGTCAACCAGCTATGGGTTTGTCACAAGTTTCTTGTAATTTACCCCTAAAAATGCCTAGTCTCTATGGGTAAAATATGGTAAAATGATGGAAATTTGATGTAAAGATGGTGATAATTCATTGGAATTTGATGCATTGGTGGACTTCACTAGACCCATATCTTGATGTCTGGGGATCCCAGCGGACTGGAGAAGCTTTTTGCTTCGTCCAGCTGCATCCACCTGCTCCAGAACCTGTATCCAATGACGCAGTGGATTTTCTCACCAGTTTTCCAGCACAAAGGACAAGTTGTGACAAGTGCTCCACAAACAACGAATGTAGAAAACAAAGGTCTTACCTTTGCAGCAAGTGTGGTGACGATGCCTTGACATTCTCTGATTTCTCTTCTGGAGGTGGAAGTTTGAAGGCATTGGACTTGTCCTCCTCACCTGGCCACCATGTGCACACGGTGCACAGGACCCAAGGACCCAAGGCGACTTTCGGGGAGGAAGTCGCAGCTGAGGAATACCCAGCAAGTCTGGGCCGTTGATGAGTCTAGGCATTGTCATGTTCATCAGCTTCAGAAATACTCTGGGCTTTCTGAGCAAGTCCATTCCAAGAGGTACTAAGAATCCGACCGCCAGTTGCAAGACTGGCCTGCAAAACTGCAGACTGCCCCCTTCCCGTCTTATGGTAAGGTCATTTGATGTCATTTGCTTCATGGGAAAAAAAGGGACAAACAATGTCAGTGGCCTGGTGCTTCTCCAAACGACGATTTAGCTCCTCGTAGCGCGCCATGTCGCCGCCTCGACCCCGCTAAAGTCATCTGCAGGAAGATTCTGTTGGAGTTTGCTTGTAGACTACTGAGCACTTAATCAAAATGAAACAAAAAAACGAACGAGTGATCGAAAGAGCCCATTTGCCAACGATCTATATAAAGGAAAGCAGAGCTTGAAATACTCGCTATGTATCTTTATATCATGAACGGCAATGAACGGCGGCAACAGCATGATCTTGTCTCCACATGCTGTTGCAGTCTGCTGCAACATCCATCAACATCCCGAAATGTCAACCAAGTTCCTGGCTCAGCATGGCTTCCATCGCCAAAGCTCCCAATTTGTTGGGATCGATGTCTTCTTCCACATCGTGCAGGTCTACAGCAGGTCCTGCATCAGTTCCAGCCGATTTGTTGGCTTTGTCGTACTTTGACCTCAGGCTGAAAGAACACAGGAATGGCAGAATTGCTTAAATCATCTTAAATCCCCTTACTCCAAAAGAACGATAGTTTTAGACAAAAAAACTGACAAAGCCTGTGGGTTGATTCGGCTGGTATCGCAGGTATGAGCCACAACCGAAATATTAATATTCGCCCACCGATTTCTGCGACATGTTGCGAACCTTTGAGCCCCCAGGCTTTAGCTGCCGAATAATCTGGCAGAAGCAGTAGGGTTCGTAGAAAAGTGGGCAGTTGGTCTAGTTTTCAGCACGCACAAACTCAGCAAGGCACCTCATCGGCATCATCCTCACCGGTATCTGCTGCTTCCGAGTTTTTTACTCGGTTCAGCACCGCTGTTGCAACCTGTAAGACACGGCTCAAATGCGAGCCAGGTAAGATCACAAGAAAACATGGACTCCAACAAGAAAACATGGACTCCACTCCAGCACTTGAAGCTGCCTTGCTGTGTAATTTATTGATATGCATGCACCATGTCTACAGTTAAAAGTCATTCTGAAACAACTTCAACCAGGGCATACATATAACGTCAAACAACCTCCGTTTTTTGAGTGCACCCTCCAATCTGACGAGGGCGCCTGTTCCTTCCGACGTTCTGCCCGCGCATCTGCGCTGGAATGCCTCAGTGCTCATCGAGACACACAATCAGTTTCGGAAAGGTTCTGGCTGATAAACGAAGCAAACTGCTGATGAGGTGCTGAGGTGATGGTGATGATGATGCTGCTGCTGATGATGATGATGATGACGAGGGGGGGAGGAGGAGGAGGAGGAGGAGGACGAGGACGATGACGATGACGATGACGCTGACGATGACGAAAGCGGAGGAGGAGGTTGATGACGATGACCATGATGACGATGATGACCATGATGACGATGATGGCCATGATGACGATGGTAAGGATGGTAAGGATGATAAGGATGATGACGATAATAAGGATGATAAGGATGATGACGATAATAAGGATGATAAGGATGATGACGATAATAAGGATGATAAGGATGATGACGATAATAAGGATGACAAGGATGATGACGATAATAAGGATGATGACGATAATTGCGATGACGACGATGATAAGGATGAAAAAGATGAAAAGGATGAAAAGGATGAAAAGGATGAAAAGGATGAGGATGAGGAGGAGGAGGATGATGATGATGCTGATGATGATGATGATGATGCTGCTGATGATGATGATGATGATGATGATGATGATGGTGCTGGTGCTGGTGCTGGTGCTGGTGATGCTAATTTGGATGATAACTTTGATGATAATGACGACGACGACGACGACGACGATGATGACAACGACGACAATGAGGACGATGAGGACAACGACGCGGCGGCGGCGGCGGTGGTGGTAGTGGTGATGATGATGGTGGATGATGGTGGATGATGGTGGATGATGGTGGATGATGGTGGATGACGGTGGATGATGGCGGATGATTGTGATGATGGTGATGATGATATGTCTTCTTCTTATTATGATTGCACGATGATGATTGTGATGATGGGATGATGATGGACAGTGTGGAGTAGGATCCATCTAGCCCATGTACGGTATCACAGCATTGGAGCAGTGTCCACAGTACATCTTCATGAAAAATTGGAAGAGTCCAAATTCTTCCAAGACTCTTTGACTTATAGGTTTGTAGGCAGCCACGGGCAAAATAGTGACACGACTCGCCCCTGCTGCTCCACATCTGAGGAATCTACGAACTGCTGTCAGACCTTCCAATGGACACTAGCTTCGGAGTGCCAACTTTTCAACTTTTGAAAGAGATGTTGCTCGGCACAAACTCTTTGCCGAATTTACAGCCGGCTTACAAGTCCGGAATGGAACAGCAAGAGCTTTCATCTGCGCAACGAGACGCATCTGCTTCCAAGCCTTGCCCTCTGCCGCTTGCGGGAAGCGCTGCGGCTTCGGCTGCACCTGCGGCTTTTGCTTCGGCTTCGGCTGCGCTTGCCGCGGCTTGGGGAACGGCGAGTGACTGCCTCGATCGGGACCAGGCAATCGCTCATCTCCTTTCCTCCGTAGTGTATTGCCAAACCATCCTAAATCGATCTCCTAAACATGTTGGCTAATTTGATTTACAGTAATTCAGATCAATTCCATTGGCTCTTTGGGATCAATTGGCATCAATTGGGATCAATGAGGATCAAGTGGGGTCATCATCCTGGATAGGATGAAGAATTCAAAGAAAAATCAAACCACCATCAGATTCACTCACTCTGAGACCATCTGTCTAAGCTCCTAAGCTCTAGGCTTTCTTTGCAGCTCTCCACCCTCCACCGGTTGGACCGCGATCTGACAGCCTCACTGCCACAAGGTTGAGGAGCCCGTCAAGTTAAGCAGGGAGGGTTGGAGCATGTTGGAGCATGTTGGAGCATTTCCATGTAAAATTGTAAAATAATCTTCAATGCAATGCAGCTGAGATCGGCACGTCTCCGGTTTTTGGTATGGTTCATCCTGCTCCGTCCGGCGGCCTCGAGAGTCAGTCAGGTCAATCCAGCCATCTGATGTACTTTGAAGCAAACCATTCCATCCTACCTTTCCAATCCTTTCCAATCCTTTCCATACAAATCATCAGCGTAGCTAGGAGGAGAACCTCGGACAGATTCATCCACCGAATTCACCTTCCTTTGAGTCCCCTGCGAGGTGGAGAAGATCGAGGCTTCGCCTGCGAACTCAGCAGAGCCATCACAGCATACGAGACAAATGACCAACGGCCAAGCCTCATCGTTCCTGGAATCTGCCTGTTGAAACAATGTGCAGTCCAGTTCAAAAGGAGACCCTCGATCACAAGCAGCTATAGTAAACATCTAGTGTGGAAATACTTGTAATTGCTGCTGCCTGCCGCTTGTTTAGCCGCTTCCGCCAATCGTTCTTTGCCCAAGCAGGACCAACACCTCAGCAAATTGGCAGCAACAAACATGCAGCAGGGACTGAAGCAGTGAGCCTGCATGGACTTCAGAGCAGCCGGACGCAGATGCTCAGGAATGGAGCTGGCGCTTGCAGACTGCGGTACCTCAACGTCTTCACTTTAGCAGCTTTAGCAAGTTCCTCTTCACGCGATTGCTGGGACATTGGTCTTGTGAACAAAACAGGCCAGGCTACTGGGAGATTGGATTCCTCTCCGCGCAGAAAGGGATTGTACTCCTTTTCACTCACCTGACAAGGTTACGATGGATTCAGTGTCACGGCGAAAATATATCCAAACACTTCGGTCTTCACACTGTAACAAAAGACTTGTGTAGGATTCTTGCCCATAGATGGGGTGAATACTTCAGCACAGAAACTGACATGGAAATCAGCAGACTTCAAGTGACTTTTCGCGAACATCGATTCTCTCACCATCAACGTGTACTAAGGGTGGAGTGGTTTAGGTCTAAGTAGGATGAGCCTTCACTTTGTCAGGATCCTCCTTCAGCTTAGCATCTTTCCTTGGTGATGTTTGTTTCATTCTCCAAGGGAAGAGGCAGCTTTTTGTCCTGTTGGATCTGAGCACCCCAGCTCCCGCTCCTTTCCCATGGAACCAAAGAAATCCACCTGGCAGGATCCAATGGTCAGCAGAGTGACAGCTTCCCACCGTCAACCCCTTCAGCCTCCGCTTTGGCTACTTCCTCATCACCTTTCAGGCCGCAATTTTTGGGCCAAACCCATGGGTTTCCTTTGAGCATCACGTCATATCCATTTTGAGGCATGATTCGGTTTCGGCGCACCTGTCGATTGGACCTGGTTGACCTTTGGCTTTGCAGTGACTGAGTCCTGCAGCACCATGGCAACATACCCAGCTTTCACTCAGATTGACCCTCTTAGACCAAGTAGTTCCCCTCTTAGACCAAGTAGTGTTCCATTCACATGTTGAGGGTCTGCTGCAGCCCAAGCCTTTGGCTTGGCCTTTTCCTCTTCATCTGACTCCTGTCAGCAGCATCAAGATGAAAAATCTCCAGACTGATGGTCTATGTAGGTCCGAACACCTCAGGATACTTACAGAGAACTGGACCTAACCATGGCTCCTGTGCATTGGATGAAGCTTCGGAGACATCCTCCTGTGAATGACATTCCCGCAATGCCGCAATGCACTATTGAGAGGCAAACCAGTTCATCTTAGAAAAGCTGATGCCAAAATGTGATTTTGGAGCAACAAAACTGAAGCAATGCTTCCCACGTGCGAAGATCAAACAAAAGCTCTGTGCTGTCTGTCTGTGCCTTTTCGTTTTTCTTGTCTTTCTTTGCCTCACTGGTCAAGGATCAAATCAACTTGCAGGCTTCGAGGTTGAAATGGAGTGTGGACTACTGTCACCGAAGTGCTCAGACCCAGACCTTTTTTCCTGAGAAAAGCAAGTGTCGGTGCCGCCAAAGGTAGACCCAAAGGATGTCTTTACCGAGGCTGCAAAATGGGGAAGTTGTGCCAAGATTCTTTTTTTCTGCTCTTTCCGTTTTTCTTTCTTCTTTTCTTTCCTGACACAAGAGTGCCAGCAAAGTAAACATTAGATTCATTAGATCATTAGCAAAACAATCAAAACAGACCAATTGTATCTCTCACAGTATCTAATTGTCATGGCTTCAGCTTCTGAACCCTTTCTTAGATGCTCTAGGTCTCTAGGTCCAACGCATCACCTGATTTGTCAACAACGAAAAACCCTTGGGCAAGTGCTTGCTCAAGGCTTTGTCACCTTTGTCAGCCTTCTCCTGTGGCGATTCCGGGAAGGGGGGATCATTTGGATCATTGGTCACTTGCGACCAAACACATTGGTTGAATCGTTCGAACGACCCAAGGAGGTTAATCTTCAGGTGATGTGAAAAACTAGAAAACGACAGAACGAAAACTTCCAAGCTTCGGTCAGGCCTCCTCCTTCTTGCCAAACTTCAGTCCGGCCAACATCACGAAGGCGAATCAGAGAAAGCCATCAATGCCTGACTGTCAATGATAAATTAACATGCTTTGCTTTGTACTTTTCCAACTTCTGTCTCTTCGAGGTGCAAGTGATAACAGCCCAGCACTGGCTGGCCTTTCCCTCATTGCAACAGAGTCGAAAGAGGCATGTGAGAAACTGGAGAATCGGGTGAATATATTATATAATCAATCTGCTCTTGGCTTCTTTCTTGTTCATGTCCGTCATATTTTGCAAGTGAGCCAAATGGACTTGGCGGCTTGCTCTCAATAAAGCTTGTAATGAAAAGCTGATTTTTTCCGCAGTTGATGAGAATCAGGGTTGGAAAGCTACTTCCAAAAAGAGAAGACATATACGTATGGTTAGTATCACGGGCGAATTGCTACGTATCATGCATGACGAAAGAATGTGTATATAATCATATGTACTGTAATTCAATAAACGGGCAATATGAATCTCGTGAGATGTTCGGCCAAATGGCCTCTGCGGATCACTTGCCACAATTGTGACGCTTGTACGAGTTTGCCACAACCATCCAGAACCCGTTGGGCACGGCCATTGCTGGGGGTTCAACCCTGTCCTCTCGATGCCGTGGCTCGTGCAGCACCGGTTCTCGAGGTACAAAGAACCTGCACGAAATGACCCAAAGTGACCATTGTTTAAAGTTCTTCCTTTGGGATGAAGTTATTCTTTGCTGGTCATCTGAAATCATCATCATGGCTTTATCCAGCCCATCCAAATAGTTTCATCGGGCGAAGGGGCCAGTATAGTATATTGCGGTACAGTCAAATCTCTGAATCATGACTGAAGACATCTCGAATTTGAGAACCCCATGCTACGAGGATTCATTGTTTGCCATACTGATGCCGTCGCATGCCGTCGCCACATGTCGCCACTTCAAACATGCCAAGGGCGATTTCAGTTGCGCACGGTTCGAAATGCAGCCCTGCACCAAACTCGGTTGAGCCAGATCCTGGGCATCACAACCATCGTTCCAGGTGTATTTTCCAGCATGAGGAAAGGAGTCCAGAAATGTCTTGCTAAAAAAAAATGCGATGTCTTTAAACGTAAATGAGGGAAATGGCATCTTGTCCACGGAACATAAACAATCAACAACCTAAGCCAGCGACCAGAAAATTCTGAGTTCGGCGTGCTGCGCAGAGGTATCCCGACCTGCCAATTTCCAAGCTACTTGGTAGATCTTGGTAGACTCAGACAATGCTAATTCACAACATGCCCCTCCACCCACCATTGCGAAGCAACACTCTCTTTTATACAGTTGGCCGGAATGTCGCAGTGCCAGTTAGACCCAGTTTTACTGTGTCCACCCTGGCCTGCAGAGTTTGTGCCCTAATGTAGGGTGGGACTGGGCGGAAAAGGAAATCAGTGCCTTGAGCCAAAATGGCACCACAAGTAGAGGTGCCACTGGCTAAGGTAAGATCCACATCCAGTTTCCCATGCATTGTCACTTCAACACTGCGTGTTATTAAACGACAATGCTAATTCACAACATGCCCCTCCACCCACCATTGCGAAGCAACACTCTCTTTTATACAGTTGGCCGGAATGTCGCAGTGCCAGTTAGACCCAGTTTTACTGTGTCCACCCTGGCCTGCAGAGTTTGTGCCTTTTGACATTCCGACCAACGCCAACTCACCCTCCTGCACGTAGTGCGCGTGAGGAATGGGACGAGGCGGCAGATGAGGTGCTTGAGGCGGAGGAAGAGGAGGACTGGTGGCGGGTTTCAGGAAAACATTTGCCACACTTTAATTTGGAGCGAAACGTTTTAGCCTCCTCCGCGGAGAAATACTTGTGCTCCGTTGTCTCTCTCCCAAAGCGCCATCCGCAGCGTGTACGCCAGGATCTGGGATGTTGATTGACGTCCTTGTCCAAGATCCTGTGAAGCTTGCCCCCTCCGTTCGTGTTTTGTATAAACTCCGAAGCGGAAACAGGGATAGGGAGAAGATCCGCAGCAGCTTCACAGTCTTGGAGCATGTCTTGATCCGGTATGGCAAGGGTTTGCTTGGCCGATTGGGCTTGCAAAATAAGAGCTGATAGCTCCTGTTTTGCCACCTGGATAGACAGTTGTGCTGAGGACTCTTGTGCCAGGTTCTGAAGTTGAGCAAGAGGGGTGTCTTGCACGTAGTGGAGGAAGACGTCGCTACCCCAACGCCCAAATAGCTGGATTCGCCATAGTTCCACGTTTGACATCGCGAGATGCCTCGCGCCCGTCACTCGTGCTGAGTGGCCTGTATAGGCCCTTGCTCCGTTCTGATGTGTTGTGTTGAGATTCAGCTTCTTTGCGATTTCTTGAAATGTATCTGCCCATCCTGTCTTTGATGTTTTGGCGCCCTGTGAGTCTTGGAAGACGTAGTCCTCCGGGTTGTTGATGTCTCGGAGGTGCTCTATCATGATGTGATAAGGGCAGATTGTTTTCTTTGAGAATTCGCAGCTGCACGTATGTGACCTTTCGGCGCCTAGGGCTGCTTGGTCTGTTTTGGAGCTCGGGAGTCTCCAGGTGACCTTTCTCATCTCGTGGTTGAAGGAAACGTGGCTTCTCCTGGCACGAGATGCTTCGATTTCCCTTAAAAGCCACCAAGATGCCAGCAGCGTTGACCTGCCTGGGTGCTGTGGTCCTCCTTGACATAGAGCTTGGTGTTCCAGTATCTGGTCAATCTGGTCCAGAGGTAGGCCTGCAGCTTGTTTCGGAGGTCCCCGGGATCTTTTGCAACTTCTGATCGCGGCTCGGGCCGCTTGTTGGAGTTGTTGGGTCCATGGCAATCCGGAAGCGATGTGGATGGACTTGGCCGCGTCCAAATATAGTTCGGACGATCGATAACCAGCCAAATCTAAAGCTCCCATGATTGTGAATATCATGTCTGGTTCCAACGCGAACGGGTCCCTGAAACCCGCTTTTGCTGCCAAGCTTTCCCAAAGGGCCCTCCGAGATTCAGTAGGCCCCTTCGTGGTGGCTGCTGTCATGCCTTCTCGAAGATGTGCCTGACACCTTCGAATGTCTGATATGGCTGACATAGCCAGGGATGCTGATCCTCTGGTATATGGTCTCGGATCGCCTCCCTTGGAAACCAGTGGTGGTTCCAAACGGGAAACCTCGTGATGAGGGTTGGCTACCAGGACATCATTGCCGACGCTCCGAGGAGGAATGCGCAGAGCGAACCCTTCGTGGAGGACTGGTGACGGTCTGGGCTTTGCGACCGGCTGTTGCGGTCTTTCCCAAGGACGGTCCCCAAGGTTCCTCTTGAGCCTGGGCATGACTGAGCGTGAGTGAACTCACGAGTCAACAGGGGTACGAGAGCAGGTTCTCAACATCATGTGTCAACACGGTTGAAAGGACCAGCCCGGTATCTACCCTTCCCACTCACCGAAGGCAACTTTTCCCTGGCCACGTGAGGTCACAGGTTATGTTCCTGGATGCGCCAGAAGTCCTCATTGATTCGGACTGGCACCAAGGGAACACCTACCAACGACTCTGGCCACTCTGCTGGGACCGGTGCAAAACGTCTGGATAAGGCGTCCGCCTCCAGGTTTGTAACACCCGGAATGTGCGAGAGCCACGAGATTCTGTACAGACGCAATGCCTGATCCAAAGAAAACTCACGTGCTAGAACATTGAGGTCGGCTGACTTAGCTCTACCTCCTACTATAGTGTACAAAACACCCATGTTGTCCGAGCGTGCTCTGACTTGGGCTCCGTACTCAAGCTTTTGTAACCAGAGACGGAATGCCACCAGCAGCGCTAGCCCTTCCCACAGGGTATTGAATTTCGAGTTGCCTGTTTGGGCCTTGAACTTCTCCAGCACTCCTTGGGGAATAGGAGACGAAAAGCACTCCACGGCCTTGTCGTTGATCTTGAGCACTCCTCCGATTCCCCACGGTGAGGCGTCCGTGGTGATGGTGGCCTTGATATCGCTGTAGAAGGCGCTGAGTGTCCTCGCCAGAGGAGCGGGGCTCCCTCGCAGCAGCGCTTCCATCCATCGCAATGCCGGGCGGATTCGCCTGGTGTGGATCAACTTTCCGGAACGCCGGGTGCCGGCTCCGTCATTCATTGATTTCCCCACCGACAGCACCGCCCAGAGCGAGGCTAAGAAGGGCCGCAAGTGCGGTATCAGGCCGGCGATGAACGAGAGGCTGCCTGCGTACGACCTGATCTGTTTGTGACCAGCCACCGGTCTTCGTAGGAATTCTTGGGTGGTCGCTTGAAGTTTCTCCACTTTGTCTTTGGGGATCGTGATGGTCACCTCCCTTTGCTGGTCCGAAGCTTCGATGGTGGCGCCAACCCAGGATATTTTCTTTCCGCCTTCTGCCTTCTCCAGCTTGACCGGGAAGCCCGCGATGTTGAACCATAAGAGGATGTTGGTCAGTTCCCGGATGGCATCGCTCTTGGGGCCTTCCATGACTACTGACGGATCGTCGACGTAGATCTGGATTCCAGACGACGGGGATATGGCTGCTGATGATCTGCCCAGCCATGCTGCGTAGCGACCCCAAATCGTCGGAGAGCTTCCTGATCCAAATACCAGCACGTCAAAAATGATGAGCTCCTGGTTCCCTTTGCCGTCTTCCTTGGATGCGACCGTCATGTACTTGTCGTCCCCTGCTGGAACGTTCATGAAGGCGTCCCTGATGTCCACCGCGGCAAGCCATACTTGTGCTCCTTTCCGATGGCTCCGAAGGGCGCTCTCCGCTACATCAAGTAGCTTCGGAAGGAGTACCCGCTCTGCAGGATGGCAGAAGCTGTTGGCCTTGCTCTCTCGCAAGTCCCATATGATTCTGGATTTCTTCTTTCCTGAGGCAGAAAATTTCACCACGACTCCCAGGCGGTTGAGGATTGGTTCCCTGCCCAATTCCGCTTTTGCCTCCTCCATGGTCTTCACCTTGTGGCAGAAACCGCGGGCAGCGTAATCCTCGATGAGCTGGTTAAGATCTTCTCGTTCTTCCACTGCTGACTTGTAGTTCTCCCAATTGGTGAGAGGGCGTACGATGGAATGTATCTCCTCTGTGCCGCCCGAGATGTCTTCGATGATCGGGAATATTCCCGTAGTTTCGATTCTTTGAGAGAATCCCAGTGGTGCGCCGTGATCCAACCAGCGAGCGAGGGTGCCTGAGTCTGGATCTCCGACCGCTTGCCCCCAAGCTTCGATGACACTGGCTTGTATGGGAGTGGTGGCTCTCGCCGTCCTCGTCCTTTGTTCGATTGACCCGCCCAACATCTGTATCAGGGTCTTGCGGACGGCGGCAACAATCTCCGGGCTCGGCTCCTGAGGAACGTCTCCTGAAAGGATTGCGTCTGCTGCCTGTGTAAGTTCTGGCCACAGTGATTGGGCTTTGTAGAGGAGTTCCCGAACCTGCCAGGCCGGATTTCTAACCTTCGGCATTCTCAGGATAGACTTTGCTGGGTTGCGCATGCCACCCAATGCCAGCCGGTTCTGCCTCTCCCTATCCGTAGGACTCAGGAAGGAGGCTACCAGCGGTATGAGAGGGGGGTCTTCTCAGAGGGGCTCCTGATGGAGCTCCCTCTCCAGCCAGCCCTCGTCTGCCGTGTCGTGGAACGCCATGGCGATGATGCCGCACAGGTCCTCGGTATATTCCCCCTGGGATACCGATGCACGTTCCCGACCTTTTGGGCCGTCCACCCATTTCTGCACTGTAGATCCGTGTGCTGACATGTAAGTGGAGCCGTCGGGCCGTTTGTGCTCCGTCTTGGGATGGTTGCATCTCTTCCCATCTAAGCTGTTGAAATCCAGTCTCTTCACCATGAACCTGGTCGGCTTTGTAGTTGGAAGATTCGTGCGGCATTGATCGAACTCCACTATCTGGACTCCTCTGAGTTCTGCCAGCTTCTTGAACAATGGCATGTACCATATCTGAGGCTTGTCAGGGTGATGTCTGGGGTTTTCAATCCCCCAAGGTTTCTTGGCTCGGTTTTGATAAGCCGCTGCGATGTAGGAGACCTTGACCAACTCGTTCGCTTCTTCCACCTGTTTGAATTCGGCGTCTGTGAGTTGATCCTTCGGCAGGCCCTCGATCGCTTGAATGGACCGAAGGGGCCTAGGCCCTGGCGGGTTCTCTCGCAAGGGCGAGAATGTTCCGCACGGAGTTGCAATCCAAACTGCGTCGAAATACCCCGCCTTGATGTCGCCTGAGATGACTTCCCAAACCGTGCCCTCCAGGACGTCCGTAGGTTTCGGTGACTTTGTATCCACTGAGCAGACTACCCACCCCAACCTCGCTAGGCAATGGCTCAAGTCACCAGGCCTTGACCTACCTGCGAAAAGGATGAGGGCTTTTGGGTTGTCTTGCAGTGGGCCTTCTCTTGCCTGCCAAAATCCATACTTTTTGAATTTGTCGCCGATGTCGATCACATTGCCGAACTTTGGATCGCCCGGCTTGGAAGACGATGACGCTGGTTCGGCCTCTGGTGGTTTCTGGCGGCGCCTCTTGAGGGGAGGCCTTTCGTCCTTGTTCTTTGCGTCGTCCGCTCTCTCTTGAGGCTTCTGCGACTCCATAGGAGGCTTTGCGGCACTTTTGACTGCTGTGCTCTTGCGCTGGACTGCAATCCTTGATCTCTGAGAAGGTGTAGGAGATGCAGCAGGTGAGCACGGCCTCTTGCTTTTAGGTTGAGGGTTTCCAGCTTTTGGAGCGGCAGAGGAAGGACCCTCACCAGTCCTCTGCCCCTCTGCGGATCAGGCTTTGCGCGGGCATTCCAAGGCCTGGTGTGGCCCCAGGCAAGCCATGCATTGGTGGCTTCTTTGATTCTTGCACCTGCCCTGCGCTTTTGGTCCACCGCACTTGCCGGCGTTGTAGAGCTTGCAAATCTCGATGCCCTTGCGGTTCAAGGTGAAGTTGCCGTCCTCACCCTTTCTGCTTTTGTCTTCACCTGTGAAGCGACGAGCAGCTCGGGTCTTCGTCTTCTTTGAAGGTGACGATGCAGGTTTTGACTCGTCACCCTCAGGTGTCGCGACTTCCCTCTTGTTTCTTGCCAAGAAGAGGGTGGCTGGCGTTGACAGCTCTCTGCTCCAGAAGCTGGAGTCTTTGATGGCCGCTGCGAAACAAGCCGACCAAGGGCTGGCTTCCACGTAGCCATATTGCGGCTCCGATCGGAGTTGTCTCCTCAGCCTTTCCAGCTGTTCTGACCTCATTCGGCTGTCAGCCCTGCTCACGAAGCTCCATGCTTCCTCTCCAAACTGAGTGACCATGCCTCTGATGAACTCGGAGTAGGCATCCAGGCGTTCAGCTTCACAGGACTCGAGGAGAAGCATCGCTGTACGAAAGCACTTCCAGCATCTGTACCACGAGTGGAAGTCACTCGGGCCAGGGAGCTCCTTGCGAGTCCATTCGCCCGTTGAAACATTCAATTGGTACGACATGAATGTTTGTCTGCGGAGCATCCGCCAACACTTGAGCAATTGCACTCAGTTGATCTTTGGAGACGTCGGTTTCCGTCGATGGGAAATCTCCGAACTTGGAGCGATACCGCTCATACATCGTGGCCACTTCTGATTCCTCGAGGCTCTGGATCTCAGCGTCTAGAGTTGGATCCAATATTGAACTGAGCTTGAGCCTTCTCGAGGGAGTGGCTGCGGCGTTTGCCAAAGCACCTCCACCAACCGGCGGGAAGGGTGCTGACAAAGGACCAGGAATGGCCGGTCCGACGTCCCCTGGGGAGTCTGGAGTTTTCCCCATGCGCAAGAGACACACCCTCCGTAAAGATTCAATCCTCGAACCTTCAACCGGGGTAGGTGCCTGAGGTTGCATCGGCGGTTGGCCCACTAGGATCGTGGCAACGACATTGTCCCACGTCGGACGGGGAATCAACGCCACTTCACGAAGCCTCTGCGGATCCCCAATAGCCGCCATGAGAGCATCCCTCAAAGGTCCTTCCAGTCCCGACCAAGCGCAGCAGCCGTCGATGTCCTGAATATTGGCAAGCTCTTCATCGGTCGGGTCCATGATTGATTGCGGGGCCCTCGTGTAGGATCGTGCCAACCCGATTTGTACGAGGTCCCACCGGGGTAGCTGCCCTACTTTGACGAAGGGTGGTAGGCCGACTCCCTGGTGACGGCCTCAGGCTGTGGGTGCCCAAATTGTGAAAGGCAACCCCAATTGCACGCCTCTTCTGGATGAAGCGTATCGCCCTCCGCACAAGCCGTTCCCAGGGCGGAAGCTGGCGCCCAGATGTCCTGGCACTCAATGACCTTAGGACGACCCAGACGCGGGTGAAGAGGATGCCGGTGGCTGCTCCAAGCCCAAAGGCAATGGAAAGCAAAGCCACCAGCAAGCGATCTCCGTCGAAGTGCGGCTCGCCGATTCCTTCCCCACCTGCACTGAGCATCCCAAAAGGAAATCAGTGCCTTGAGCCAAAATGGCACCACAAGTAGAGGTGCCACTGGCTAAGGTAAGATCCACATCCAGTTTCCCATGCATTGTCACTTCAACACTGCGTGTTATTAAACAACAAGTTGAATCTGTTTGCAGAACTCGGATTCTGATGTTTGCAGATTTCACCCCCACCAGGCAGAAATCAATTGGCCCTTTTCTGCGGCAGGGTTGAAGCAGCAGTTGAGAGCAGCTCGAAGACGTCGGCCTGGGCAAGTCAACCCCCTGGAAAGCTTTGTAACATGGAACTTCGGAAAGGCTGAAAGTGACAAATGTCCTTTGTTTTTGGATTGTTTTCTGCCCTGGGAGATCGCTTTTTGAGAGCAGCATGATCTAGCATGATTGCGTGGATGTGCACAAGACTCTTGGAAGGATGCAATAGTCAACCCAAAGAACAATCCTGAGATCTCTGCATTCCCTGCTTCTAGGGCATAATCCAAAGGAGATTTTCCTGCAATCTGTCGGGCTGAAAGTCGTCAGTTTCACTTCCGCAACATCCAGATTGAGCAGTGGTCAAAAGCCCTGTGGAAATCCCCAACAATTGGTTCATGTGTACCTATCACCCAGAAATATATACTGAACGTCATCACTGGGTTATATATTTTCCCAAGTCCCCCTGGTGCTTTAAGTTGCTTGAAGGACATCCCCAGGGTCCATGGACGTCCATGGTCCTCCATTCACCATCCCCACCTGATTGATCCGCTTGAAGTGGGTTCGCCAAGGCTATGAGAAGCCGATGACACACCTCCAGGTTCCCTTCGACAGCTGACCAATGGAGCGCCGTCCACTCCTTTCAAAGTACGAAGGGTCCAGCTGCAAAATTCATCTGGTGCCGTGACAAATTCTACTCTGTAGAACTGTGGAGCTGCGTCAGCATCTATGTCATGCTATAGAACATATGAAAGACATTCAAGACCATAAAGACCATGTACGTAGAGGCTGCGTGTTGCTGTTTCTTGATTCGCACATTGTTTAGGAATGCTTGTCACAAGTTGTTTTTGAGTTTCACCATCAGTCCTCCGCATCTCCGTGTATGGCTTGCCAGCCATACTGCTCTATTGCGGCAACGGCCGTTTGATACCTTACGCTCCGACAGCACACACACTGACACACACAAAACAGAAGTTCCTGCTATTTCGCCCTATCTTCACTTCTAGCCAACCTTTTGCTTTTGTTTCAAGAAACAATTGTGCAGGGTTTTGTAGCATTCGCGCTGCTGGTGCTTGTTGACATAGACTGCAAAATCGTGAAACAGTTCATCTGCCATCTCCATGGCAAGTTGGTCGACAAAGGTGCACAAAACAGGTGCTTTGCCGAAGTCTCGATGGAACTTATCGTCATTTGATGTCATTTGTTTGATTGTTCCAAGATGTTCCAAGATGTTCCAAGATGTTCCAAGATGTTCCAAGATGTTCCAAGATGTTCCAAGATGTTCCAAGATGTTCCAAGATGTTCCAAGATGTTCCAAGATGTTCCAAGATGTTCCAAGATGTTCCAAGATTGTATTCCATGGCCAAAGAGCAGTTTCCACGTTCCACTCTTTTGCCTAGCCACACAGGAGGCACATCTAGCAAAGGCCTTCGATAGCCTGCAAATGCCTGTGCTGGACCAGGCCATATCCTCTTGAAGCGTTTCCCAAACGCCCCGCTGACAATAATTGATTGTTGAATCTTCTGTGTAAAAGGATGCAATAGAAGGATTGTTTGCCATGATTTTTTTGCCACTTCAGTTGCATTCTGCTGCTGAGGGCTCATATTTCTCTGTGTCCAAACTTACCATATGCAGGCAAGCACAAAAAGCATAAAAATAAACCATCAAATACCATGCACACAAGTCAAGGCGAGGTTTGTACTGCACCAATTCCGCCCACCTGCTTTTGGGATTCTGCATCCCTTGACGAAGGCAGGTGCGATTTGCCCCAGTGATTGATTGCCTCTTGAACGTCCGGCCCTTAGACAGCCAGAGGTGAGAATGTGAGACTGGATAGCCCAAATCAGCCAAAAGCAATGGAATACACTAACACCAACCAACTTAAGTGTACTGTATAATTCATCAAGACGTGTCAAAAATCGTTGATTTGACGCAAATTGAGTTCACTGGTCACGGATGTTCCTGAAAACGTTTCGTTGAACTACGTCAAACCATTTTTGATTGGTGTCAAACCCAAACCATCCCAAAAATATCACTGTAGTCCTTGGGGATGAGTAGGGCAAGTATCCCAACACATACATATATCCCAGTTGTAATGGGTGACAGCCCACATATCCCAAACATTTGTCACAGCCAGCAGTACAAATCGCTACTTGCCATTCGTATACCCTATATATTATGTATATACTTACAGTATGATAGGTATATGATACATATTTATATATAATATAATATGTGTATATATATATATGGATATTATTGATGATATCCACCTACTAACCATTTCTCAACTCCTTTGTTTTGATCTCAGCAAGGCACAGTTGCTGAGCTCTGAAGCAAGGCCATTAGAGCTGCTGTGTTCCGGACGACTGCTTAACAAACGGCGACTGCGAGGAACATCATCTAGGCCACCACTGGAGGCACAAGAAAGGGTTTGCTGTATGTGGTGTATATATATATATATGTGTGTGTATGCATGTACTGTATGTCTGTCTGTCTGTCTGTATGTCTGTATGTGTGTATGTGTGTCTGTGTGTGTGTCTGTGTGTGTGTGTGTGTCTGTGTGTGTGTGTGTCTGTGCGTGTATGTGTGTATGTGTGTGTGTGTATGTGTGTATGTGTGTATCTGTGTATGTGTGTATGTATGTATGCATGCATGCATGCATGTATGTATGTATGCATGCATGCATGTATGTATGTGTGTATGTGTGTGTGTCTGTATGCCTGTCTGTCTGTCTGTCTGTTTGTATGTAGGTAGGTAGGTAGGTGGGTATGTATGTGTGTGTGTATCTTTGTATCTTTGTATCTTTGCATCTTTGCATCTATGCATCTATGCATCTATGCATCTATGCATCCATGCATCCATGCATCCATGCATCCATGCATCCATGCATGCATGCATGCATGCATGCATGCATGCATGTATGTATGTATGTCTGTATGTCTGTATGTCTGTATATCTGTATGTCTGTATGTCTGTATGTATATGTATGTATGTATGCATGCATGCATGTATGTATATATACTTGCGCATGGACAGCTTAACAAGGAACATGATATATATATATATATATGGACATATTATGAAATACTGTATGGGCTGTATTCGGAACATGGGTGATAGCCAGAAGAAATTGGGGAAGAAAGATGGCCAGCTTAATAAGGAACATGTAACATGACGATTAAACATGGAATGTGGGGGATCCAATTTTTTTGGACAATGTAGGTCAGCTCAACAACGTACTATGACTATGACCTATGACCATCAAACCAGGTGGTATCTCCAAATACCCGAAGTAACCCAAGGGTCTTGGGCATTTTTTCAGGTGAGTGTCAACCCCCTGGTCGTTATTTGAGACCAAAAAGGCTGGTCATTAGCTGGAAGTTCACACTAGCACCCCCAATGGAACATGCATGGTGTCATAGGTATTGAGCATCCCCACGTCATGGCGAATGCATCAGAAAAGTCAGAATAGGATGCCATGACTCCAAGAATTGACCATGAAAAAGTCCAGTACCAATGCCAAAGTCTTTGACAAAGTCCACAAAGAAATCCAAGCCACCGCAGTAATCTTGCCCCCAGCTTTCCAAGATCCGCTGCATGTTGGAAGCAGTAGAGTGAGGGCTCAAAACCTGTCGCACGAACAGAGCCCAAAATATCGAAGCTATATCGAAGCTTATTTTGGAAGAAAAATGTGTATGCATCTGCTTCCGAGCTCATGGAGTTGTGGAATAGACTTTACATTGGCCGGAGGAATCAAGTGGCAAGTGTTGCACCAACATCCGGTTCTAATTCTAGAAGCATCCGAATTGCCAGTCACCAATGGGCCGGACCCGGCATCACATGGGTATCGCATGGGCATCGCATGGCCACCTCGCGGTCGAAGGATTCACTAACCATGGGTTGCGGCATCTTCCAAGCCTCCCTGGCACCTGGACAGAAATCTGGGCAGCCCATGAGAGAGAATATACATGGACATATGGAAATATATATATACATAGACACACATTTATATGTCTATATATACATATATATATATATACACACATTTATGTATATATATATACACAATATCTTATATATGTACATATGAATGCCCTTTCTGGAGATGTCTTCCGATTGAGAACAAGAAAACATGTAGTTTGCTTAACTTATGAAAGGCAGTACATGTTCAGTACTCTTTTGGAATGAGAATTTCTTGTCTGTTCAAGCGCATGGTAGCAGTTTACACACCTGGCGGTCTTTGGAGGGTATGTCCACTCGAGGAGCAACTTCCAAAGCTGGGAAAGCCATTTCCTGCAACAATGAAACGATGTGAAACGTGTCTCAACATGTGCTCCGAAGATTTGGGGACTTTGAATCCCTGAAGCCTTGTGGAATGGTTCAAGGAATCAAAAATCATACTGAGTTCCAGAAACTGACGGATTGGGTGGTACAAATCTACAAAACCTTTGCCTTTGACAAACCCCTCTGGAGCCTTGCGGCTCAGCACGTGCTGACAGCACTGTACGATGGCGTCCAAGCAGAGCTTGCCGACGCTCAGCTGACTGCTGAATGATGTGCCTCTGTTGAAATCATTGGAACATGGTTGAAACATGGTCGAAATATGATCCAATGATTCACATATTCAGATCCCTGGTCTTCAACTCCCCCACATTTCTGCTGCGAGTGTCTGATGGTGAGCTACTGAAAAGCAACAAACATGACAACCAGTCGCTGGCTACCCAAGTTACTCAGTAAATCAACCCTGGAAAGAACAGCTCTTCAGGCGATTTTTACCATGCCAGAGATCGGATCGCATCGGAAGATTTTGCTTTTTATAGCACAATGATTTTAAAAAATGCATCAAAAATAGCAAAAACAACACGCATCCTCTGTTCATTTGTTCATTTGGCCACTTCCATGGTTTCACCAAGGTGCTCTTCCATCTGCGCCATGGTCGCTATCTCCTCCTGTTGCAGTGCAGCGCTTCTCTTCTTCATGACTTCGACTGCCTCTAGTGCCTCACAAAGGAGGGCGCTATGGGTCAAAGCTAGCTGTTTAGTGATTTCATGATATGTTCATTCCATATCCATTATAATCTCCAGTGTACTTCCAATTATATGTCATGATAATTCATGAGAGTAGTATAACCACAGAACCGATTCGATTCCACCATCTTGTTGATATGAGGCCGTATTGTGACAATCCCCACTAGATGAGGTACTGCAGGTATTGATCAGTTCAACCGAGAAAACCCAGTATTTGCACACCAAAGTTGATGGTAGCTAGCTGGATGTTCGTCCCACATTCACACGGATTGGCTCCATCTCTGATGTTTGATTCTAGTGGTCAGCATGTGGACCTTGGGCAAATCTGTATGCAGGGCTTCTTTGGAGCAGTGTCTAGTGTTGCGCCAACTCGTTGTGTTTTCCTACGCCTCACAGTAAACAGCGAAGTGGAAATTGCGGCTCTTTGTGTGGGCCCCGTGCACTGATGTTTTTCTGCACCACCTCACCAAGCTTAGTGTAACAGCTAGACTCCTCCACATTGCAAAAACACTGTGACACCATCCAAAGTGGTGGCCGGTGGCCTCATCGCGAGCTCGCTCCGCAGCCTGCAGCTGCTGCAAATACTTCATCTCCTGTTCCTGACTCTCGCGGCGAGCAGTTTCCAATCCTGCGACAGGTCTGTCGACTTTCCACCAGCCGCCTATGCTTTTCTGCCGAACTTTGAACGCTTTAGACACTCTGGAAATCGACTAGTTTCCAGCTCCAGAAACCAGATTACCAGATTTTTGGTCAACAAATGAAAACAACAAATGTCCACCTCCCGACATCTGCATGACATGATTTGTCAGTTTCAATCTGCGCACAGCATTTCTCCAACTTCCCAAATTTCTAGCCACTGGAAATTTCTACCACCCCTCTGGATACCTCGTTCTTCCAACTCACGGCAACGCTGCAGGTGCTGAGCTTCAGCTTCAGCGAGTTGCTCGCGGCAAGTGGCCTGCTGCTTGGCCTGCGACGATCGCAGCAATACCTTGACCTTGACGATTGACATCGATTGACATCGACTGACACTGTTTCGAAAGTTTCGATGGCTTTCAACCAATCTTACCAGGTACCATCCTTGACGTTTCTCCTAGCAAATCACAGTCAGAAGCAATTCTGTCAAAGGAAAAGAACCATTTGCTGCACATATGGTAGGTCGGAGTGAACAAACCTCTCCCCACCGCCTTCGTCCTCTCAACTGCGCAGCTAAAGAACTAAGCACCACAAACTTCAACAAAATCCAACCAAAATTCAATATCAAACAAAGCTTGGCATAACATTGCCATCAACTTTCGAGCCTCCAAAGCCTGCATGGCAGAGGCGCATGCTTCCACCTGGCACAAGCTGGATCCCCTATGACGTCTTGTCTGACTGGTACTGACTGGTACCATACATAGCTCATCATTTACAATCATTGATTACTACAGTATAAAAACGGGGGTTGGTTGAGAAACCCTCCGTAAATCCCATTCATCCACCAATCAATTCATCAACGAAAGGATCATTTCATTAAGCAACTTATGAATCAACCAACTAAGCAATCTAACCGATCTAACCGATCAATCAACCAGGACCAAACGCATGGGTTCCCATGACTGACATTTTCCGTCCTCACCTCGGCCTGACGCCCTGCCAGCTCCCGCGCCGATGCTTCCTCTGCCAGGGCTTCCACCTGCCAAATGCGCTGCTGCAGTTGAGCCTCTCGGGCCTCGGCCAGGCGGACTTTTTAAACTGGGATAATTTTAAACTGATTTAATGATACATACCATACCACACACCATACCATATCATATCATACCATGCCACACCACACCACACCACATACCATACCATACCATACCATACCATACCATTAGATTACATTACATTACATACATTACATTATATTACATACCATTACATTACCATACATACCATTACATTACTATACATACCATGACATCACATTACATTACATTATATTAAACTACATTTGCATTACATTACATTGCATTACATAAAAAATACATTACATTACATTACATTGCATTGCATTGCATTACATTAAATTAAATTACATTACATTACATTACATGCATACATACATACATACATTACATATACATATGATTATATATATATATGTATATATGTATGATTATATATATATATATATGATTATATATATATACATGTATGATTATATATATACATGTGATTATATATATATGATTATATATATATGATTATATATATATGATTATATATATATATGTGATTATATAAATATGATTATATATGATTATATATGATTATATATGATTATATATGATTATATATGATTAGATATGATTAGATATGATTATATATATATATGATTATATAATCATATATCTCTATGATTATATATATGTGATTCTATAGATATATATATATGTGATTATATATACATATGATAATATATATATGACTATATAATCATATTTATATATGATTATATGTATATATACATGATTTTATACATATATATATATATGTGTGTGTGAATATATATATATATATGTGACTATATATATATATACATGATTATTGTATATAATTATATATATATGATTAGATATATATATATGTGTGACTATATATTTATATATATGATTATATATATATATGTGTGAATATATATATATATTTGATTATAGATATATATATATATAGGGTTATATATGTATGATTATATATATATATGATTGTGTATATATATATATGAATGGTGATATATATATATGATTATATATATATGATTATATATATGATTATATATATATATATGATTATATATATGATTATATATGTGATGATATATGTGATTATATACATATGATTATATATATATATGTGAATATATATAAATATATGTAATTATATATATATATGAATATATATATATATATACATATGTGACTATATATCATCAAACATCTATATATATATATATGATTTTATATATATATATATATGTGATTATTTATTTATATATATATATGATTATATGCTATTATATGTGTATATATATATATAATAAGTACAGTATATCAACGTGCACGGAAATCATTCTTTGAAGTCCTAGTACATATTTGAACGATTTTGATCTTTCGAGTAAGTGCTTCGACTTGTGGCCAAGGATCGTCGTCAGCCTTTGGGGCATGGTCCAGGCACTCCACCAGCCGTTGCTGCATAGCCCTCACTGAGCGCACCTGAACAGGGCGTCAACACAGCTCCAAAAAAAAAGGTTAATTGATAATTGGTTGATCAGTTGGTCGACTTCTGGATGGAGTTCTTCTCCTTTTTTTGAGAGGGCCACAAAATATTGATGTTTTGACGCTAAACATGTCTACGTTTCGAGTGCATTGGTGCCTTTTTTGGACATATACCCACATCATACCAAAGTGTGAAAGCGCATTCGTTCCCCTGATAGAAGCCAAACACAGGTTTCATTCATAGGTAAATGGATCCATGATAGAGACATTGATGGTATAAATGTATCTATCCAACCGCCCGTGAATTATCCCTTGTTCTACCCCCTGAAACTCACTGAAGTTATTCAGAAATCAACTTCCAAGCCTTCCCAGCCCTTGGCCCTTGCCTCTTGGTCAGCTTGAGCCTCCGCACGAGCCCAGACCTGGCTCAGCCATGCCTCAGCTCGAGCCTCTTCGCGAGCTGCGATGCTGGCGGATTCATCGGCGTACCACTGCTGCATCCTCTGCTGCCTCAAGGATCACACACTTGAAAGATCATACATACACCTATACATGTACATGTACACATATATTCATTTACATGTATATGAATATAATATATCTATCTCTGCAAATGATCGGCAAGCACTTCTTTCTATATTGCGCACAGGGATGGAACGAGTCGCCTACATATGAGTTGCAGAACACAATACAGAATACAAAAACGAAATGAGAAGCAGACGATGTATGAAACATGTGGTTTGGGTTCAAACAGCAAGCAAAAGCGCAAAGCATCTGACACACATTTCAGAAAATGTTTCATGCACCCTTTCGCCTGCCAAACCCATACATGTCTGACATACATACACTTATACGCATATAAATATATAGATATATATATATATTCTTTTATGTGTGTGTGTGTTTGAAAAGAACATATGTCAATACAAACAGCCGCTGAGGGCGTCGGAATCCCAACTTCAGGAACTGCATCCACATACTACATTCGACAGTGCATGGGTTGGGGCCATCCCACCATTCAGACTTAGGCCATCACGATTCCCTATTTTGGAGGTATAACGGTATAACCATTATTCTTCAATATGGCTATATGATGCAACTTTTGACCAGAAAATCCATAAATTTGATTGGTGGACTTGATCGTCAACTTTCTGGATTTCAGGTGCTAAGTTCAACACTGGTATTGCATTTCGAGGTCAGTGGAACGTGCTTTGCGCTTCACCTGGCATAAAAATGCGTCCAGCAGGCGGTTCCACATGAAATAGTCATGGCTATACACTGATTTTGTTTAACACTGAAAACTATGGCGATCCAAGAAATGTATTATAAATGGATATCCATCTGTCACTTCTTGTTCCAACATCTTCCGGAATCCAGTGAATATAATTATCCTGCAACCAAAGAAAAGATATTAAAACTAAAGTACAGAATCCTTGTTGGTTGATGTCAGCATGTCAGCTGATGTTTCGGAGATTTTGGGGGGGTACTACGAGTACTACATGTTAGGCCCAGGTTGCAGTGGCGCCGTTGGCGCCGTGCCTCCTCGGACTCCTCCCGCCATCTGGGTGCCATCTTCTGCAGCCAGGCACTTTCGGCTTCCCTTAGCTCGCTCTGGAGCTCCTGAGGTCAGCATGGAGAAAAGCGATAATGAAAGTATGTTAAGGATTGTGAAGGATTGTTAAGGATTGTTGAGGTAGGGAATATCTATAGACTATAGACACAAATAAACATAATAATATATCACAATCTCTTTTTGTTGTACATGTATGTATATATTATATTGTCAACGTATGTCAACGTCCCATACTTATTCCACTTTTTCTTGGTTTGCATCACTATGATTTAGGTACTGTATGGCATCAGTTTATGGTTCAGCTTGTGTCGTCTCCAAACCTAATGGTTGGTTGAGGGCAAGTGTCAATATTGGACGGCATACTAATCCCCATTAGACCAGGTGGTATCATCAACCAAGAAGGCATTTGGTCATTGCTCAACTGGGTCTAGCAACACAAAATGGGGTATTAGACCAAGGTCAGTCATTCTGATACAGCTTGAAACCGTCCAATTAGTCAATCATCTTGAGCCATAGCCAGATGGCAGATGTTTATCCATAACTGGTGGGTACATTTGAGACACGGTATGAACAGGAAACATAGGCATATTAGTGATATACTTTGAAAGTTGTGGGTGCATATGAGAATGCCCCAAAGACGCGGGATCATCCACAATCTTACCTTTGGTGCTCCATTTGCCTCTTGTTCGTTTGTGGCACTTATCGACAGACAGTCCTTTCGAAACTCTTTGCGAGCTTTCTCTTGTGCCTCCTCTTCCAAGACCACCTTTGAGGGTGTCAGCTGTCAGCCATAGGCCCATAGGCAAGCTCCTCCAAGATCACTGCTTTCATCATACAACACCCCAGTGCCTGACGCTTCTCGATTTCCAAGGCTTGGAGGCGTTCCATCCGTCGCCTTTCTTGGATTTCCAGCTCATCTCGCAACCTCACAGCTGCTCAAGCTGAAGCGTCCCAGAGTCATGTACTCAGTGACATGGGGCGGTGTTTGAAGAGTGTCACTTTGGTGCCAAACAAGGAGCTGGCGATGCTTCTTGGCTGCAAGATGGTTTTTCAAGGCTTCTGCCCAAGCAGCCTCTGCTTGCTTTTCCACCTTGCTCTCCACAGCAGCAAAGTCCTTAGATTGGTGAATACTGGTCCCTGATTTATGAACCCTGCGCAGTTTAGCGAGGCATGCATCCTCACAGGCTCAACCTTCTCTACCTAGGACCTAGGAGAAGGGGCAGGACCTTCCTTTCCAACAAGTGACTAGCCAAATGAACAAATGTGTTTCCACCACAGTACAGTATGGCCACAGGGCCTTGGGAAAGGTCAAAACAGTCACAGATTGGTGCAGCCGCGCCGCAGCCTCGGCCTTCCAAAAGCAGGACTGCTTTGAGCCCAACTTGGCAGCACCTCTCAAACCTGCATAGCCTTCAGCCAGCACCTGCCACACTGATCTTTGGGTTCACTTCCAATCTCCAGCACAATTCAACACAAGCCTCTAATAAAAAGATACAAACAGGATCATAAATCATAAGTAGTCATGAGCTTTACAAAGTTCTCACTTTATCCACGCTGCACCTTTCGCAGCTCCTCACGTCCTGCTGCTTCAGCCGCAGCCACCAAACTTTCAGCTTCAGCAGCATGAGCCTTCGCAGTTCACATCTATGGCTGATTGTAAAAGTGTAGATGTCAAGTCTATGCAAGGAAGCACTGAGCTGCTGAACTCATCGCCTGAAGACGTGCTTCGAGATGCTTTCTGGCTTGTGATCCACCAGCTGCAGCAGCCAGGCTCGCTGCCTGCGTGCAGAGGTCCACAATGGTTCAATGGACCTTCCACTATGCATGGCGTACGGGTACTGACAGGTAGGTGGCTGGTTGGTGGTTTCAACCCTGCCGGTCAAAGCATACCAAAGCCATTCAGGATCATCATTTTTGTTGGATCTTGTTGTTGGGATGGAAAAAAATGAAAACCAGGCAGCTGCGTGTGCTGAAATGTCCAAGTTTGTCGGTGAAACTTCCACTGGTACAGCACCTCGCTCTGCTGCAGCTTCTCCAAGCGTCGCTGCGCTTCCTCTGCGCGCTGTGCTGCTTCCAGTGCTGCCAAGCGCTGCTGTTGCAAGGCAGCATGTTGGGCCGCCAGACCATGGCCCAAATCTCCTGGAAAACCAAAATCAAACCGTCAACCCCCGTTTTGCCAATCCCAAAAAACTGAGGTTGAGGTTGTCTCTAATCTATGATGCATGTTGATCGGAGCCAAATTCTGATAAAGTATCGTGCACCTTCTCACAAAAACACTGCATCTCCCTGTCCTGGCACACTTTCTCCAGGACTGAAGGGTGCACTTCTCTGAGTTTCTGGTGAGGAGACCTGCGTTGTGGGCCTCAGGTGCTCGCACTGAGGTCACAATGCATAAATGCACTGAATCTGAATCCATCTGAATCCTCACCGTCCTCACCCAACTCATCCGCTGTTAGAGCCGCCAAGGCCCTGGCTCTGGCCTCACTCCACGTGGCAACGCGACTGAGTGCTCCAGCCTTTTGGTCTCGCTCTCGCGAGTCTCGCGTTTCAGCGCTCGCTGCATCTCTTTCAGCTGCTTCTGCTCTTGCATCAGCAGAACGCGGCCTGATTCCAGCTGTCGCACCTGTCGCGCCACAGCGGTATGTAGAACAAAAACACGCTATGCTTGTGCGGAAAAGCTGAAATGTACAACTTGTAACTCGAAGATCCGCTTCAAAGCAGGTCATGGGACCAAACGCTGGCTGTCACCTTTCCAAAAGGTTGTTTTCTGTTTTGATCAAGAGCTGAACTTCTCAACTGAAGCCAAACATCAAGCGCAATCAAGACTGCAGGATACTGCAAAGCGTTGAACAGTTGAAACCCTTTCGGAGCCTTGGCTTGTATCAAGGCTTCTGTCTCTGAGCACCGTAGGTCTACCTCCTTGTTCTCAAGACGCATAGCTTGCAGCCTTCGGCCCAACTACCATCCACATGTCCAATCATCCAATCTCGTCCTACCCTGAAATCCATTCATTTTGGTTGATTTGGATGAAACTCAGTTCTTGCCATCATTCTGAACTCTGATGAAACCCACTACAGCGGCACTGGGGCTGCAACTGCCAATCGCCATCAGCTTCACTACCGAAGCTCATGGGTGTGGAGCTATCGGAGCATTGACCTTGCCATATCTCTGGAACTTAGACCGACATGGCTCGCAACTGAACAGTTCAACATCACGAAACATCACGAAACATCCAGGTTTGCCGGAAAGCGATGGTGCCTGCTCTAGTGGAGGAAGCGGCCTTTCGCTCCTTCCGGCAACCAATGCAACGTGAATAAACGAAAAATGTGCTGCAGTTGATCTGCAATGTGATAGGAGAAGTATGGAGAAGTCCTGTTTCAAGCATTTAGACACCACGCACCAAGAGCTTTGTCTCATTATGTTCGCCTTGAAGCAGTATTTTTCAGATCTAAAACCAGCACGCAGCTCCTCACTCTGCTGCAAGTCCTTGATTGTGGGCCGACATGATGAGGATATTCATGATGTGGTTGGGAGTCCACCACCAACAGCTTGAGATGACGTAGTATCATGTCTTCTTGATATCATCACTATTCATCACTGCTATCAGCAAGGCGACTAAATGTTTGACCTGATCCGCTGTTCCACACCTTTTACACTCTAGACACTGGCTCAGTCCAAAGCTCACTGCGCCACCCAAAATCAGCGCTGTGACGACGCTCATGCAAGGCGATCCGGCTCATGGCTCAACATGGCTTGAAGGAGTGTTGATTTTGAAAAAGTGTCCAGCAATCGCAAAAATAAACGGGAAAAAAACACCATTACAGCGTTCTGTGAAGCCAACTTTCCACGAGTAGTCACAACAGTGATGACCCTTCATATCAAGCCCTTTCCTCAACTACTTTCTGTACTGGAGAACCCCTTTTTGCTGCCTGCTTCAGATGCTTTGACCATTTCTGGCACAGCTCTCTGCTCACCAAAGGGCTTCATGGCATCACATAATACAGAACAGCCTGCAATCATGGCAAACTTGACAGCACATCATAGCTCGCCCAATGCTTGGTGGCAGCATTATCTGGTCCAATGTCCTCGGATGCCTGTGGCGCTTTGGGTCGGCGTTCTTCAAATCCCACCACCACCTCCCAGCGGCAACAGAAACAAACATGCAGAATTACCACTTAATTGATCTTAATTGCTAGTTTGCTGCTACCCACTGGGATGTTCATCAGCATTGGGGTCAACACTTACGGCCCCGCAAACCGCAAATTCATGTCATACTTACCATCAACAATCCAATTCAATTTTGGGGATAACCTATGGTGGGGTGCCCAATTTTGGGGGTCCAACCATCGAATCAACACAAATCAGGAACCGGGATTCGGCATGGTGCCTCCTTGGTATGCGGATGGCTGCACAACTTCTCTGGCGTCAAACCCCTGCCACTGGATGGGTCCAAGGGCTCAGCTCATTGGTTGCTCAGAGAATGGCTCTGGCCAACTCTGTGTAAAAATTGGTGGAGTGCTTTACAAACAAACGGTATGAGGGTATAAGAATCACAAGCAGATGGATTGTTGATGGATTCCCTCTTTTTTTCGCATGCAGCCTCGCTGTCTTGCTGGTCTTTGCACCCATCTGAAGGAGGTAGAGCGAGACATCCTGCAAGGCATGTTGGGAATGTCGAGTAGGATTGAGATTCCCAATGGCCAGTCAATGCGGCCGTTCCGGACTGGAACCCACTCATCTCCGGAACCCACTCATCTCCCTTCAAAGGAGATCTGCTTGTCTCCTTAAATTGTCTTAAAATTCTGATTTTCGTGGATCCATCATCCATCCACCATCAGGACCAGCAAATCCACCTGCCGTCCCATGCAACTTGCCACATGCAGTGGAGTCCAGCCAGCACCTGGGCATCGATGCAAACGGGATAACCCAGTGTGTTTAACCATTGATTTCTGTCCCCCATAGATCAAGTTGCTGCATTTCACTTACTACCCCACCCAAATGGCTCAATGACGGCTGTTTGGTCTAAGTGCTCCGCAATCGACTGCATTCACATCGACTGATCGAAGGACAAGGTCCTGACATTGGCAGCCGGCTCAGTTCTGCCAGACTCTACCATCACCAAAACATCACCACAAACCTTTTTGATCCCTACCATGGCACCTTCACGACCTGAAAGCTGCCAGCTCTCGCAGCCACATGGAGCAGAGTAGTGCCATTGCTGTCAGCCACCTACCCCAAACGGCAAAAGCTAAAGACCAGTCGAGTCGATCAAGTCAATTGAATCAGTTGAATATAGCTGAATCACTTAAATCATGTTAAATCAGATGAATGAGGATCTGTACGTGCATTAACTCATGGCAGCACTCAATAAAAGATCGCTATTTGATAAGCATAACTGCCATTCAGAGTTAAAGGCAGAACTCTCATGACATGGAATGATGGCCTTTGGGTTGGCACCATGGACGAAGCCCCATCGAAGTGCTGCGAGGTTTGCAGAGCCTCGTAGCTACTGTGGTAACACAAACTTGTGGCGTTTCGCTTCATCAATGTATCATTCGTTCAGCTTGCAGGAACTGACATTGTTGTCTATCTCTAAACTAAAGGCTCCGCCCCGCCCGCCTGCAAAGCTAAAACTGAGCCTCTCCTGCACCCACAGACTCTATGCCGCACTTTGATGGCAACACCAGTTTCTTGGCTTTCATCAAAGAATTAGATATCCAATACTATGCTACCTATTGAAGAATGAGGCTCTCCAATGAATTGCTGTCCTTCACATCAATGGCAGCAAGGGTATCTTCAAAACAAACCCCTGCGGGATCGCACGTGAAGAAGTCAGTCTCCAAGTCATCCAGGCCGCATGATTTCCTGGGACACAGCACAGTCAACCACTTTTGGAATACAGGATACACCAGGTCAATGTCGCACTGGATACACCAGCCAACCTTGAGCGAATTCCAAACTTGAGAAGGGAAACACGAAAGGTAGGGGGCCAAGATGGAGAGTGAAGAAGTTAGGTGGCATGCCAGACCAACCAATGATGGTGATGGTGATGGTGATGGTCATGATGATGATGATGATGATGATGATGACGATGACGGCGACGACGACGACGATGACGATGACGATGGAGTGGCACTCTTCAGGATCATTTTTGGGGTTGCAGTAAAAACAGCAGCAAAGCAGCCCTGGCCTAGTTTTGGCTGTGAACAAATTGGAAGCCCGATTGAGAGGTCCAATGCACCAACCAGGCAAAAAGGATTGGATCAAAATAAGGCATATTCCAAAATCTACAGTAGTCACGTCCGATGCATAAACCTCGCTACAACAAAGTAAGCCAACTCCCGGGACAGATTAGTAAACCACCCCCACAATAAAGTATGCCAACTGGATTGTGTTTTTGCTTCATTTTTTTCCCGGATGTTTTTCCCGCCGGATTCTTTCTGAATCTGACCTCAAAAAAATCATGGTCGCGAAGTTGCATTTTCTCTATAATTATTTCAAGAAGGACTTCCGGTAAACTCGCAAAGCGGGTAGCCTTGAAACAAGCAGGAACCGAAATAAGCAGCATTGTTTGACCCCCAATAAAGTTCACATTTTTGGTTACCTTTCTAGAAATCCAAATGAAAATCATTAAAAATCAATGTTCGTTCAACTTCCAACTAGTTCAGCTTTCACGTCAATTTCAAGAGGAAATGTTTAGGGCCAATTGTGATGTCATTTCGGTTCTAATTATTCAAAGGCAGTTTACACTCATGTTCAAATCAAATTGAATTAAAATTCAAGTCAGTTCAAATTGAATTCAAATCAAACACAAGCAAGCCAAGTCCAGAGCAACTGTCGAAAACAATATCCATCTCCCTTCCCAGACTGCTTTCCATGAATACATTAGCAATCACCACAAAAGCTTTGCCTGACTCCATGCTCGGGGCCACGATACAGTAAATCCAATACAGTAAATTTGTTGAGCTCAGTTTTTAATTATTTTCAATTGAAGGGGGTGCTGGGGGTGCTGAGTTAAAGTCAACATGGTTTCATGGTTGTATTATATATATATGAAAGGGAGGATATAAGCGTGCACCCATTATGTGTATAATATATGTATATTATGCATCAGTAAAACATTACCCGACCAACGATCCGCTCGAAGGTGTTTGTTTGCGTCGCAAAGCGGGTGGGAAGTCGACTCAGAAAAAGGACGCACGAGCCGACAAAACAATGCAAATGAACGAAACCAATCACCAATCAGCAGCGATTGTTCAAAGAAAAATGCAAGGCAAAAACAAGAAAAGACGCTGCTCGCACAGGCAAAAAAATGAACATTCCAAAGGTCCGTTTAGGGCAAGAGACCTGCGGGGCGGAGGGGGGGATTGAACCCACGAGGGGTGGGGGCAGTAGTGAAATGAAAGGCAATCTCCACCACCCCCCTTTACTTCGTAAAGCAAACTCAAGGTAGCCCCACAGGAGCTACCTTTCGTGACCACCTTGGACTAGGCCATGTGTCTTTCTTGGTGGAAAGTGCCTTATGGAGGTAAAAACAGTTTGCATGCAGAAGGATTGAGATATCTCTCCGCTCTCTCATACCCAACCACCCTTGTCCTGCAAAAGAACGATGGCCGCGAATCCTGCAGCTCCCAATATGAGTACGAAGTGGGTCAACTTGCAAACTCCCCTGTTAGTATCACCCAAAGGTCTGTCCTGTTCTTCAACAAGATTGCCGCCTTCTTTTGCGCAGCAGCCACACGTCAACTGGGCCCAAAGTCAGGCATCGACCCAAATATGAGGTGGAAATACTGATGAATCCCGGATGAACAAGTTGTTGACAGGATCAGGTGTTACGGTGTCTCACCAGTTGCAACAGCTGAGGAAATGTCCCCTTGAAGATCCTTGAAGTTGCCACTAGCGATGCGTTTCCGGGAGCCCATATTTCCGACTCTCCCAACCCCAGGGCCTGGTTGCCCATGGGCCTTTCATGCCAAAGCCATACGGGCCATGTTGCAACTATTTCTAGGGCTGTGTCGTACCAGTTTGAAAGTTTCAGCCAGGAGCAGAGCTGGAACTGAAATGCATTTGTGAAGGTTTGTAATGTATTCTGGCTATTTCTGGCTTGGGTCTTGCTTTGAGACTGTCCTTGAGCCTTGAAGCACAGAAAATTCGTTCATTTCAGGGATAAGAATACCAAGTCTTGCGGTTTCGCTTCAGCTCAAACTGCAGGCAGCTGGGTAGAAAACGCAGAGTCGTTTTCTAAACCTGATGAACCAAGAGCGATGTTCACCCCTGGCATCTGATACCTGAAACAGAATTTGTCTCAGATCTAGTCTATGCACATACCCAGCACGCTGGGAGCATTGGGGAGGCAACTCGGGTCCGAGGGAACTGATCCATGAGATCCCGTGAACAGTTGTGTATCAATCAAACATCACAATGCAAATGATGGCCCTTTTCTCGAACACCCGAGAACTGACAGTTTAACATATATTTTGACTTGTTGACTCCCTGGAATTCCAAGGCATGCAGCCTTGCAGAACTTACATCCTCCGATATCATCCGCCCTTGGATTTCAGCTTGAGGTTCAAGATCTGCATCTGGTAGTCTTCAGTCATCTCCTTCAGGACTTTGCATTGATGTGGCAAACAAAATTGAAAGCGATGGATCTAAGCCCAAGAATGTAATTTCCTCCAATGTTCTACAGTACCCAGACTTTTACACAAAAAGTTGATTCAGAGTAGCCACTCCTTCAAATGCTTCTGCAACTGCTTCAGCTGCTCTTCTGCTACAGTTGCACGAACCAGGAGTTCAGACCTGCAGGCAATTCAAGCAAAACAGCGGTCATTGACCTGGTTCTTGTGTCAACTTGTTCTGAAACAGAGTCACTGATAGTGACAATCAGTGATAGTCATTGATAGTCACAGATAGCCACTGTTCCGTTTCAGCCCTGCCCGGGTGTTTCGGCCTCTCTGCCTCGAGATTGCGAATGCTTTTCTCAAGAAAGGCAAGTCGCTGTGCCTTTTGCAACCAAACCGCTGAAGCAAAAACAAATTGAGGCAAGTGTGATATAGATCACGACGTAGGTCAGAGTCAAATCAATCTTTTGATACAAACATTCAGATTGATTGTGTTAAGTGATTCTGTTACAGATCCGCACACCAAACACATGGTGCTCCTGTTTGCTCAATCCCATCTCTGCCCGGCCTGTGCCCTCTTGTCAGGTGGACTCTTTTGCTCCAGGAATGCAACCCGAGCCTGTAAACTTTGGACACCCTCGCAGAGCCATGGGACCCATGGCTCCCATGGCACCCATGACACCCATGACACCCATGGCCTGCAAAGCCCGATTCTGCTCAACCAGGTCTGCCTGGCCGAATCCGACAACGATACAGGCCAGTTTGATTGGGGGGTCCAAGCGTTTCGCTGGTCATGACCTGGTCATGGTGGAAGTTTTCCACAAGTGGCAAACATGCTGCTGGCGCATTTGCAGCTGCACTTGCTGCGCCCGGAGAGAAGGGCGACGCATGTTTCAAGGATTGAACCTGGAAGGCATCGAAACCGTTCATTCATTTTTAGTCACACCAAAAAGGTAATGTTCATTAATTGTCCCAGGTTTACTGCTTTCGGACCCATTTCTGAGCTACGCTGTCCATCAGAAACCGTGCGACACCTGCAGCAAAACGCACAGCATCACTTCCCTGGCTCCTCCTCCAGCAAGCGGTCTTGAATCCTGCATCGGCTTCATCTTGGGTCAACAAAATCATCCCAGGATGAGAAATGAAATAAATATATAGATATGAAATGAAACTAGAAATGTACAAACAACCAACCAATCTTGGGTGCGTTTAAAGTTTTCGACGTGTTGGTGCAGTACTGATCCCAATGAACTTCGGTTGTCACCCTCAGTCACTGTTGTTGTTGCTGTTGTTGTTGCTGTTGTTGTTGCTGTTGTTGTTGTTGTTCTTGTTGTTGTGGCGGCTCACAGCAGTAGCTGCAGCCCGGGAACACACCTCCACCGGCAGATCGACAGACAAGCTCCGATAAACAAAAACAACGTCATTGCAAGTCCTCCCTGCCAGCTTCAGGTGGCCCAAACTAGAAATTAACCAAAAGGGACTGAAGCAGATATCAAAGCAAAAGGTGAACCCAAAGAGAGCATACCAGCCTTTATCCCAGCATAGCACCAACTGCGCGCGCAGGTAGGAAACCAGGCGCCCTTCATCAGAGACCCGACTGGCAATGGCATCAAACCCCGGTAAGGCAATGGCATCAAAAATACCTATGACTGACCCGAAGCACAACGCCCGAACTCAGTGTACCATTCCCAGCAATCCCCGACAGAATCTCGCTGTGCACCAAAACAGTGACCGAGAATATCCTTACGGACTGCAATGGCCACCCCAAATGCCCACGCGTGTTCAAGGTCTGCATATCGGCCCAGGTCCTGGCTACATATTGGGCACCATGCGAGACAGCTAAGAAACCAGTCCCAGAGGCCGCGTACTGCACATGATTGTCATCCCCGCAGATCCTTGTTACAAACAGGTTGGCCAGATCAGCACCTAAAGAGGACAGAGTAGCTCCCAACCAACGACCCCATAGGTATCGATCCCGACCCACGCCACCGCACAGAACAGTTGCAACCCGACTAGCCTGAGACCTTTTCCAACTAACTGTGACGCCACACACCCACCAGAAAAAGAAGGGATCAACTGATGTTGCCCTTCTGCCCAACAGCCTCGTCCGCCGACGACTCAGAGTCGGACCTATCCAAACCAGACAGGAAATCCATGACCACGAACAGCCCCAAGCAAAACACCCACCCCGACGATGCCAGCAGGCAAAAGCTGGCGTGAAACGGGCGGGCAGATGCCCAACACCACGTGGACGCGGCGAGCCGAAGCCCCAACACAGAGAAAACACACAACAGAACAAGGCAAAACACGCCGGGCGAGCCAAAGCCCCAACCCACCGAAAACACACACAGAACAGGGAAAAAAAAAACACGGGGCAAGCCGAAGCCCCAACACAGGGAAATCACACACCAGAACGGGACACAACACATGGCGAGCCAAAGCCCCAACCCACCGAAAACACACACAGAACAGGAAAAAAAAACACGGGGCAAGCCGAAGCCCCAACACAGGGAAATCACACACCAGAACGGGACACAACACATGGAGCGAGCCGAAGCCCCAACACAGAGGCAAACACACGGGGCGAGCCGAAGCCCCAACCCAGGAAAGGGCAGCAGAAGACCCAAAATACCAACCACACGGAAGAACAAAAACCGCCCAACCAGAAGGGGAGAAGAAGCAAGGAAAACAAAAGCAAGACAAAGGAAACAAAAAGAAAAAAAACAAGGAAGGCAAAGGAAAGCAAAGGATAGCACTGGAACAAAGAAGGGAGAGAAGAAGAGAAGACGCGCAGACAGGCCGGCCCGGGGAAGACGCGAAAATGAAAGCATGGTTGCATGGGCCAATCACAGAAATGGTACGGGTAAGTCAAAAAATCCCATAAACGGCAACTTGCAAACAGGACCAAGCCAGAGCCCCAGTAGCGGCAGGCACAGCAACATCAGCAACCCAGTTAGAGAAAGAGGGCACTGTCACACTTGCGCCGAGCTCGGGGAGGAGGGAAAGGAGGTGCTCATCGGGAGCCAACCCTTAGTGCCGCCCCCGGGGTCCTCCTAACCCAAACAATCCGTCCCAAGTCCAATGGCGCAAGTCCCGGGGGGTCAACAAAATCATCCCAGGATGAGAAATGAAATAAATATATAGATATGAAATCAAACTAGAAACGTACAAACAACTAACCAATCTTGGGTGCGTTTAAAGTTTTCGACGTGTTGGTGCAGTAATGATCCCAATGAACTTCGGTTGTCACCCTCAGTCAGTGGACCCTCGGGAAACCTGGCCTTTTCGCTTCCACAGATGCGCTGACCTCGTTTTGATGTCGTTCTCTGGCTGCCTCTAACTGCTGCCGCTCCTGTAGCCAGAATTTGGGCCCTAGCCAAGGCAAGCAATGAAAACACCAGACGGCTAAAAATAGATCATATAAAGTACGCCAGAATAGACCCCAGATAGCAACAATTGTAACAACTGTGTTTGCAAACACTCTCCTTTTTATGATACGGCGTAAACGTAATCTCAGTAATCTCCATCAGGCCCCAATGCCCACACTGCCATAGCCATAGACATCTCGACCCTACGCAGCGGCACCACAACCCAAGCTTCACAGCGCACGCCGCACTCTGACAGCTGTGTAGCAGCACTTAAACTCCTAAGTCGCACACACAGCCCTCTGACAGCAGCACCCTGAAACAGCATGTGCAGTGGCACCCAATAGCGGCACCAGCAAGCCAGCTCCAAAGAACACACAGCTTCCAGCAGCAGCACTCTGAAGCAGCCAGCTCCAAAGCGCACGCAACGCCCGACAGCGGCACCCTGCAACGGCACCACCAAGTCAGCTCCAAAGGGCGCACAGCACTCTCACAGCAGCACCCTCAATCAGCACCCTGCAGCGGCAAGCCAGCTCCAAAGCCCACGCAGCACTTTGACAGCAGCACTTTGTAGCAGCACCCTGCAGCGGCACCCCAAGCTGCACTCTGCAGCAGAATCCTGCAGCGGCACCAGCAAGCCAGGTCCAAAACGCAAGCATGCAACTCATCCTATACTTGAAGTAAGAACCCCAATAGCTTCGCTATCTGGTGGAAAAACATAAAATCCGCCCACACCGCTTTGGCGGTGAAGGCGTGCTTATTGGGGGGCAAAACAGCTACACTAAATGCTCAATCACATTTGTTAATATAGCAGTCGCTATATCAGCTTTAGCTGGGGGGGGGCAAAAACGGTTTCGCACCGAGACCAGAATTCGGTGGTGTTTTCGACATTTTTCGAGGATTTTAGGGTGTCTGAGTGCAAGAGGGTATTGAAATGGAATTTTGGGTCATTTTGGTAGCTTTCCGGCAATGGAAAAACGGCCAAAAATGAAAAAAAACATGGTACATAGCAAGATTTTGCAGGGTTTTTGGATGCCAGAGCATTGAAAACACTGCAAAAACAAGTGTTTTGGACTGACGTTATAGCAAAAAACGTGTAAATTACCGTATGCTTGACTGGAAGCATTACAAAAACACTGTCAAAAGCAATGTTTTGGAAGGATTTACTGCCTTTATGGCAAAAAACGTGTAAATTACCGTCTGTTTGACTGGAAACATTGGAAAAACACTGTCAAAAACAATGTTTTGGAAGGATTTCTTATATATATGTTGGAGTTGGCTACCGGCATTGGAACATGGAAAAATTGAAGAAAACACTGTAAATAGCGGTATTTTCAACGGTTGGGGAGATAAGGGAATTGGAAGCATTGTCGAACATGATGTTTTCGACCGGTTTTATGGCGACAAAAGTGTAAAGTACCGTGCTTTGAAGGAAACCATTGCAAAAACATGGAAACACATTCAAAGAACACGGACTATCTAGGCGTCGTTGTCTAGCTATTTGAAATTCCGCAGCTTGGAGAGCCTCCAAGGGAGGGAAAAGTGAAAATTCCATAGCTTGGGAAGCTGTCACGGCGGGGAAAAGTGAAAATTCCCTAGCTTGGGAAGCCCCCACGGGGGGGAAAAGTGAAAATTCCCTAGCTTGGGGAGCCCCCACGGAGGGGAAAAGTGAAAATTCTCGCCTGGGAAGCCTCTACGGGGGGGAAAAGTGAAAATTGCTTAGCTTGGGAAGCCCCAATTGGAAGCATTGCGGCAAAAAACATATTTTCAGTCCACTTAAAAAAATATTCACGAACCCAGCAGTTATGTATGTCAATTCTCCTGTGCTGCTCTGCTCCTCATATTCCACACCACCCTTAGCCCCTCTCACGGACCGAAATAAACCTGCGGTGTGGGCGGCCACCCCACGCGAAGCGGGGTGAATAACTAAATCAAATGCATGTTAGAAGAAAGCTGTTTGTTTCTATCTTAAGCATATTTGGCAGCTCCTCTGCCAGCTCAAGTCTTACTTGTTCCTTCCTGGAGCAGAAATAAATGGTGCTGCAACAATTTCCATCATCCAATGAATGTGTGGTTTCAGCCTTAAAATGCTGAAACTTCTCAGAACAAAAGCAAACTCTCAAGACAATTCTAAAAGGCACTGCTTCCAGACCTTTTGTCTAACAAAAAACGGAAGCTGTTTGATTGGCAACGGAATCAAAGAATGCATCATCATCATCATCATCATCATCCATTTCGGGAAGCGGCCCCCGGCTCCCTTTTCAGAATAGGAAAACTCCCATACTTTGTTTTTGCAAATTGAATCTTCATAGGTTGCTCTGATTAAACTGAGACTCTCTTGTTGAATCTGACGTCTTTGGTCTTCAATCTGACGCTGCACTGTGACTTCGCCATCGTCCATGACTTGTCTTGCACGGCTTCGCTCATCGTCCAAGGCTTTCCTGTGAATTAGCACCAAATGAGTTGTCACAGTCACATGAAGGGCGCAAGGTGCATATCAAACATATTGCAAGCCTCGCTTGCTCCATCTCTTCCTTCATGCCCTCTTCCATTTTCCGTTTCTCCTCGTCCATCTTTCGCCTCTCCTAATAAGTGCATGTTGAGTCTTGATTTATGGTAGGTCAGCACCCCTTTGCCACAAGGAAAATTCCTTGTGACGAAATCATGGTTTGCACCACCCAGTCCAAGTGAAGGAGACTTGCTGTCAGGTTGACTTGCGCATCTCTCCTCAGCCAGCTCGATCTGAATCTGCTCCTTCCTCAGCCAGGAGCAAAATGGACTCAACAAGGGACAAGAAAACTGGGAATTAATGTAGGTTGGTCGGTTTAAAAGAATGGGCAAAAGCTGACAACGCCTCGAAAAATAGTTTCTAGCTCATAGCGGCTCAGCTGAGCATCGACGCAACTGTGCGTCTTTTTTCTGACCAAATTCTGCGGACACGATGGTTTTCTGAATATGTTCAGCAGCTTCAGCATTTCACACAGGATTTCAGGAGCCCACGATAGACACTAACCCAACCAGAGGGAGTGGCTAGGCATGCACCATGTGATGCACCATACCAATCTGTACCAATCTGTACCAATCTGTACCAATCTGTACCAATCTGTCAATCCAAGTTTCTCCTTTTGAACTTGACGCCGGACGGTGTATTCACCATCGTCTATCACTTGCCTTGCGCGGCTACGCTCATCCTCCAGTACTTGCCTCCAAAATTCAGGCCGAAAAACAAAACATATCAAGTGCAGAACTGATTTGAATTCAATCCTTTTGCGAGCCTCATCCTCTCCATCTCCTCTTTCATGCCCTCTTCTATCTTGCGTTTCTCCTGAAAAAAGGGCAGCATAAATCCGCACATCCAACTGCCATGAAGACCCCAGCCACTGGCCTCCACATGTTGAACAGACTCGCCAAGTCGGCCCTCGCGCAATTGCAGCTGCAGTTCGTAGATGCGATTTTCTAGATCACCTGCAGTGTGGGGTGACCATGGGATAGCCAGGATGAAACAACAAACCTGGCACTCTAAACCCAAACCATGCACAACAGCAAAATGGCATCCATTGCGAGCTTCACGCCTCGTTCGACTTCCTTCTGAATTTCTGCTTGTAGCTTTGCTTCTGAGAGTGCATCATTGCGAGCACGCAGGTCCTCAAAATACAGCCGGGACAATCAGCACAGGTCTATGTTCCCACTCGAAACCACGGCAGGCTTTCCCTGCTAGAGACTTCTCTCTGCTTCACCTCTCCTGCACTGTGGTTTCTGCTTCTTGTAAATGCTTTGCCTGGCAAACTTGAGGCAAATAATGGGGCACCCTCGAACATCGGGACTTTGCCATCAGAGGATCAAGTTGTTCGCCGCAGGCTGCCCATGTCTGCTCCCCAAAGGATGCATTTATTGCAAGCTTACAAGACATCAAAGCTCTCACTAAGCGTGTACGTCTGAATCCTTGCAAAGCACACTATTCGGACAAAGGTTTTCTCTGGGATGGTGAGATGGTGCATGTTTTGCTCCAGATAGACGTCACAGAGTCTAAAGCGAAATCTGATCCTAACAATCTGCGCCCACCAGGTCCACCATATCAGGACAATGTCAACCAGCCCAGCTTCACACCTGCTTTCCACTCAAAGCTCCCATCTGGCGATTTGATGATTCCTAGAGGCGAGAAAGCCATCATACGGCGCATGCATATCAGGAAACAAAACGATAGAACATGAAAGGCCTTCAGCTCTGCAACTTCTTGCTCTAACATCATTAAGAGCACGTTGTCTGTGTACTGCATCTCACCTCCAGCAGCAGTTCCATCACATGCGCAGCTCTTGATAGAAATGTTCAGTTTGTGTGGGAGCACCATAAGACTGAAGGACACATACTAATCATGCCTCTGCCTAGGAATGCCCTGATGGTGAATCGTGTCACACTGACCATCATGAGGACTCAGGAATGATGTATGCTAATGTTGGGATGTCTCTAAAAACCGCCAAGCTGCTGCATTCATCCTTAATCTCCGAAGCTTCCATTTGCGCTTCCACCTTAGATCACGTTTTGAGACAAATTCCGAGACTCCCATCATGACGGAAATGAGGCTCAAGCCAAAGCTTGCATGGCTTTCAAATGCTCTTCCTCCGTTTCAATCAGTCTCTCGTTCATTGACTCCTGAGACATCACAGGCCAACCCTCCACAGCACATCAAGAGATTTGGACACATCAAGAGATATGGACTTCAACCCACCTAGTCACCACTGTGTTCATTCTATGCAGCAGAGTTTGTCCATGTGCATCATCATCACCACCACCACCACCACCATCATCATCATCATCATCATCACCATCACCATCACCATCACCATCACCAACCCAATTGCTCCCACTCACCAAACTCTCCTGGTTTTCAAGAGCATTGACGTACTTGTCCTGAAATGTATGCGCCCTTTCTGAACGGGCCTTAGGGGTTGCTTTGAACAGCTAGATGCACTAATAGATGCACCAATAGGTACTCACATTCTATCTTACCATGTCCAAGGTACATCGGCAACTCTTTGTGCCTCTTCTTTGGCCCTGGTGCAACGGTGCCGTGGTGTAACGGTGCCGACGGTGCCATGATGTATCCGTGTCGGTCTGTGAGATCGCGGCACAGAGCTCAAATCAACTCGCCTTTCGGCTGTTGCAAGGCGCTTCTCCAATTCCAGAATTAGGCTGCGAGTATCTTTGTCGACAGCACTGCCTCCTCTGTCTGCTGCCTGCAGCAAAACTTGACCTTTGCTGATTCCTATTCAAACTCTGATGAGGCACAGATCAAAGGAATCGAATCATACATAACGATTCTTGTTGCACACGTGACTGGCATGCCTGTTTCAGAGAGATGCGTTCAGCTCGCATTGCTCTGGCCCAGCCAGCAACACGATGATCCTGCGTTACCTAAGTTGAAGATCAAAAGATGTTTCACTCGAAGGAAGGAGATGAAAATAAATCTGCAATGCAAGATGACCAAAATCTGTATATTCCAAAACAAGAATGTTCAAGCACAACTTGCGTAGAAAGTTGCCGGATTTGTTTGGACTTTCCCAAAGTCCTCCATCAGCTCCATGAGGGCAATACCTCACACACCAGGCCAAACTCAGACGCCAAACTCAGACTCTGCTCTGGTGTGGTTTTCGATGTTAATTCTGGCCAAGCTGCTCACTGGAGGCTTCCCTTGTCCCAAGCAGAAGAGCACATGTGCCTCCACGCTGCCACCTTGCACACTCCAGCGTGCACAGCAACAAACCGAAGATCAACTCCTGGCAAAACACAATTGTTGAACTAGTCATGATGCAAGTGACATCTTGTATCAACAGGTCGTGGAACGAGATGTAGCACCAAGAGTTCGCTGTTCTTCATCAAATCCACCGAAGGCTCTCAAGTCAAGTCACCAGTGAAGACTTCACGCAGCAGCCACGTCAATGATGAGCCATTGACTCCAACTTCACTGTCGGGGGAGGCACTCCATGACTTTGCCAAACTACGAAGATGGTAAACCTCAAACATCACATCACATGACCCAACGCCCCCCATCCTGAGAATGCCAGAAGGCTCCGTTGTGGTGCAAAATTGTCTGGTGATTGAAGATCTAAGTAGGACCATACACGTCTATAAGAATATAACTTTGTGAACTGGATAGAACTGGCCATGGAAGGATTTGCTTTGCTAAGACTCTGCACAACGACACTGGGTCTTTTCCACATAGGATACATGTTCATCCCGGTGACATTGCTTGTGGAAACATACGTGGCTCCTGGACAAACATGAAGATGAGTCAAAGAGCGGAGCTACATTTGTAGTACTGCCGTATTGCAATGTCAATTGTCTATTCCCTCCGACTCTGCGTCTGAAAAGTTCGAGGCAAGAGTTTCCAACCTTTCAACAAGCACTTGACTCGCTTCAGAACGGTCAGCTGATTTAACTGGTATGGATTCATCATTGATTTAATTGATTTGGGTTCATCTCAAAATAGCGCAGCGCACCCAAAAAAAACATAAAATGGGGTACTGTACAGTATCATGTCATTGAATATCTCTGTATCATTGCTGCATCAATGTATCATCCATTGTTTTGCACCCCTTGACATCCCGACCAGGCGTCCAAGGAACTCCACGGTAGCGATCGTAGCCTTCCCGCACAGCGACCAGACCTTTGTCCTCGGACAAACAGTCCATCACCGCAGACTCCACCAGGACGAAACGGCCATGTAGACCCCAGCCCTCGTAGTAGTCTGCCTGCGGGTATGATACATGTGAGATACATCTGCCAATATGATCCAATATGGGTGAATTAGTTCCACTTTGTTCTACAAAATCACTTGACATCAGTTGACACTTCAAAAAGTCAAGGCCTGCGTCACCTCGATGATGTAAAAAGTGCTGCTTTGTGGGCGGTTGGCCGGATCACGGCGCCTCTGAGCACCCTCAACATACTTCATGAATTCCTGAAAGCAACCGTCGAATCGGAGCAAAGCATGGCACAGTCTTGGCACATTCTCATGTAATAAAATTATTCCAACTGCAAAATCAAATTAAATCCAACTTCAGCACGGCTTACACGGCCTAAATTTGGGGAGAACACACCCCTTCTACCAAGGTTCGTCAGCAGATGTGGCGCTTGCAGTGCGAACACCTGACATTTCCAGGAGTCACTGGGGTTATGTGAAAATGCCTCATCTATATTTATATATGTATAAATATATATATATGTATGTATATGTATATCTATATATATATATGCATAAATGCAAATGTGCACATAAACATATTTACATATATACATAGTTACATGTATGCATATTTACATATATACATATTTACATGTATACAAATGTACATGTATACATATGTACATATATACATATATACATATATACATATATACATATATACATATATACATATATACATATATATATATACATATATACATATATAAATATATACATGAATACATATATACATAACTCTCGGGAGATTTGCCGTGCTTGAACAAGCACTATCATTCACAGATCCAAATCACAAAACATGCCTGAGCAGAGATTCCGCGCGCGCCTCAACCTTTTTGTCGATGAACGTCTGCTCTAGGCATGGGGGAGAGCAGAGCTGTCAGGTCATCGGATGCATAGCAAAAATTGGAAAGCTAACAGCATGACCCAGGCGTTTCTCTGCGCTCACTGATCAGCTAAACTGATCAAATCAAAGTCAAAAACCAACAAAAGAGATCCTCACACCATAAGGCTCAAACGCTAGTCGAACGAGGCTATGCTTCAGCCAGAGGCTAGAGAACAAAATGAGCACAAAGACTGACCCTTTCATCAAAGAATAATGAAGTGGGTTGGCTGGCCAACCCACCCAGATTTAAGTGGGTGGGCGGGCTGGGAGATTTCTAGAGCCTGGGGTGTGACCTCTGAGCTATCACTCTGCGCCAAAATGGCGTACGTACGTTCCGTCGAGGGAAAGTCCTCAGTGATCACACTCAGCAATGAACATGTTGATACATTCTGGATATAAGTATGTATATAATAAATCAATACAGAACTAAAATAGAGATCAATGAATGAACATCTCTTAAGAGTTCTCAACCTGCCCCAGACCTACCTAGCCGATTGCATGTTAACAACTCTCGGGAGATTTGCCGTGCTTGGATCCAAATCACGAAACATGCCTGAGCAGAGAGTCCGCACGCGCCTCAACCTCTTTGTCGATGAACGTCTGCTCTAGGCATGGGGGAGAGCAGAGCTGTCAGGTCATCAGATGCATAGCAAAAATTGGAAAGCTAACAGCATGACCCAGGCGTTTCTCTGCGCTCACTGATCAGCTAACTGATCAGCTAACTGATCAAATCAAAATCAAAAACCAACAAAAGAGATCCTCACACCATAAGGCTCAAACGCTAGTCGAACGAGACTATGCTTCAGCCAGAGGCTAGAGAACAAAATGAGCACAAAGACTGACCCAGGCCCTCTCGCCTTCGCTCAAATAAAGAGGATGGCCAAGATGCTTGAACAGTACGCCATCATCCTGCCTTCTCCTTCTCCCCTAAATGAAGCTTGTCTCTTGAAGTCCAATCAGCTGGATTAGCATCAGTCGACACTCTGTCGATAAAAACTCGAACTCTTAGCTGAAAAGCAAGATTCCAGAGCAAAGACGAAATTCTACACAAATCGTCTCTACTGGAAAAACCCTTCACGAGCGAACCTTCCACTGCCTCAGAATCTTTGAGCAGGATTACATCAGCTCCGCGAACGCGATCAACGATGTTTCAAGCGCAATGACAGTAGCAACCATCTCAACTGGCAGGATCTGAGTGGTGCGCTGGAGCCAACGCTTCTTGATCTTCTCTGGAACAATTGATATAAACTGGACCGGTTGGCGGAGCCGTCGACCAAACATGACTACCTACTACCCGATCGGGCAGAGACTCTGTGGCTCTGAAATCCGGGGTGAAGCCGTCGGTGAAGATGACCACATCTGCAGGCTTAGAGCACGCAACCTCGATCCGTCTCGGAAACCCTTCGTTTACCAGCATCTTCCACTGCTTGAGCGCCTCGATCAAGGGAAGATCCAGACTGAACTCATGCTTGATGGGAAAGCGCAGGTACTGCCGCTCTGAGATCACGCATAGGAATGCACGGCCTACTCCACAAGTGAGCTTGCCCTTCAGCTTCCCTGCGTAGCCTGGATCCAAAAGGCCTGATCTCAGGATCGCGTCAATCTCCGTCGAGATCTCTTCACGGGACTTTGGAAGGGTCCTCCTCCATCTTGGCTCTGCGAGCTGCAAAGTGGTCCTGCATGGTTGAGTATGTCTTCCACACCGCGGCAAGGTTGGTGAGCGCCAACTCTTGGACAGGAGCATCTGCACCCAAACGATTGTTGTCGGCGATGATCGTGCGCAGGGCTGCTTTCACGGCGTGAATGGTATCGCTGAGCATGGCAAAGGTCTCTACGTTGAGCAACCCAGAGTCGGCAGCAAGCTTGCAGAGATCAGACGCCACCCGCTGTCTCCCCAAAATCGAATCATTGGCTGCCGCAACCTGACACAGGGTTAGTAAAAACAGCGCTAGCCATGGCGCGGCACGGTCGCGCAGGGACCCGGGTAGCCTCCGATACGGTGGCTAGTCACATACAAGTGGCGAAATCGACGAGGCCAGCTGCAATGGGAAACAGCAACTGTACATGCCTGGCTGCGCACTGCCACGGAAACTGCAAGTGCCCAAGCGCAAAGAAACTTAAATAAATAAAGGACCCAGAGATCCCAAACGAATTCTTTGTCAACCGAATTCTTAGAAACGAATTCACTGATCTGAAGCATCTCCCACACGGGGAGCTTGACATAGAGTGAGATTTCCACACTCACATGCTCTTTTCTTCTTTCTTTTTTTGGCCTTCTTGTTCTGCCATTTTCATCACAGGAAAGCACAGGACGAAGCAACAGTTGGCAAAGAGACCACCACAAGGCTTTTCGAACAGTCTTGTACCACCAAGCTAAGCTAAAAAGAGTACCGGCCCTTTCAGGACCAAAAAGACATGCAGAACATGCACTAAGCTGCAAACGAACCCTAGACGGGCGCCAAACAATTGAACGACCACACAGGTCAATTTTCTTGGCTCTCCTTTCGTTCTTTTGGCCTTCTTGTTTGCCACTTTGTTCATATCCCGTGCAATGAGAAACCAACAGGAGACAAAGAGGCCACCACCACAAGGCTTTTGTATTTCTTTTGGCATCAAACATACGTGCACTCTGACTACTTTTCCCTTCCGGGTTATCAAATTGGCGCCAGCGCAAGGAGCCACCACCGTCAGCTGCCGCCAGCTGCCAAGCCTCTGCAGCGGCAGCTGCGCCATCGCAGCATCCCAGGAGCACGACTTCAGGCGCAAAGACCTTAGCTTGGTAGAAAACCTTAGTTGTCCAGGAGTAGGCAACACCACCCCCTCTGATTTGATGAATCCGGTTTTGCAAGTGAACTCGAGCCATGCGGCGAATTCTCGGCTTCACGTATCTTGCCCATTTGAGCTAGAAGCTTGACCGATTCCTCAATAGTAACACTAGGCCCCCACCCCAAACGCCGCACAAAAGGACACGTCGGAGCCGGCAAACGCCGGAGACTAGAAAAAGCAGGGCACTGCCAAAGAATATGATCGATCAACGGTAGGGTGATTTTCCTGATGGCAATCAAGGCACACCATGTCGCCGGCTTCCGTAACTTCTTCATAATTCCCTGCCCACCGAGTGCTGGCGGCCGTTCTCATGCCACCCATCATCACCGCCTGCACGTGCGAGTCAGTGCTCCTTTTGAAAATTGTCCTAAGCTGGTCAACAAAAGAGTCATCAATCTGATCCTGCAAGTTGATATGACGACCAATGTCAGCATCCCTTCGATCAGTCTGCAACCACCTTAGGAGCAGGGTCTTACGCCAACTTTGGCGCAGCTGATGTTTGGCCTTAGCTTAGCTCGTTCATTCTTATTGGAAAAAATGGAAAAGGTGTGGTCCGCGGTGCAGGCCCAACGACCCCAGGACGTAGGGCGCCACCCCCACTCTGCCAAACCATTATTCACCTGATGGACGATATGCTCCATCTGTTCAGCCACCGCCTGTCTGACTTCCTGACTAGGGGACCTCCAGTGATACCACCGAGCTAAAGTCATAATGAACCGGGTGATAACAACAAAACGGAGATCAGAACAATGTCCCAAAATGAAAAATTGTTTCAAATAAGGGCTAGCTCTCTCGGAGGAAGGAGGGCGAGGTCCAATCACAGCGAGGCGCCAATTAGCCAGGTGAGCTTTAGCAGCTTCATCCAAATCCCAAGCATTCAGGCTTTGTCCCCAGGCCGCGGCACTAGTAAGGAGCGCCGGAGTGACCAACTGTTTGATCTTCTGCCCCGCAGGGAGCAGAGAAATTCGCGCAGCCGTAGTCTCATTCTTGGTTGCGCGAGCAACCTTTTTAGGGTGATCTTCAGGATGCAACCCGACAATATACCCCAAAATTTCCGCCGCAGGGACAACAGGGAAACCGGGATGGTGCACCTCGAACCATCTTTCGACACTGGGGTTCCGAGCCCAGCATTGGGTCTTGCTGGGGTTAGTGCGGAGCCTAGTCACAGTGCTAAGAATTTCCCATTCATTATAAACATCATGAAGAGTCTGGACATCAGGAGCAAGTAGCCTGCGATCATCAAGGTAAACCATGCAGGCAACTTGGGGGTAAAGTCTTTGAACCCTTTTGGTAGGGGCAGCAAGCACTAAGGACAGAGCAAGGGGACTCCAAGGGTCACCCTGAGGGAGCGAAGGAACCTCTCCTAAGCACTCGGGCGATACACTCCCAGCGAAACTGGCCCATCGCTTTTGACCCAACCACTGGTCTTTCAACAGCCCTAAGACCTGAGGCGGGACGCCAATGCGGGCGAAGAGTGCAGCAGCAAGGGAAGCGTTTGTGGAATCAAGCCTTAGTATAATCAAGGCCTAAACCAAAGCCATATTCCGCACCAGGGTATTCACTCTCCATGGATAAGTGAAGAACCTCACAATCACAGTTATGACCAGCCTGGAACTTTCCTAAATGAGGGTCAACCAACCGACCATAGTCCTGAACACGGCAGCGAGCCCAGATCCTATAAACGATCGAACCGATACTGAGGGGCCGACACTTATCGACATCCGGAGAGGACGATTTGGGCAGGAAAGTGACTTTCCAATGCTTAACCGCAGAAGGCCAACTTTGGATAGCCTCAAAATGATTGAGCATCTGGGTAAACCTAACCCAACCTTCAGGCGGCATGGAATCCAAGGCTTGGGCTGACACGTTATCAGGACCGTCAGCCTTGGATCGCATGTCACGAGTAACTTGCCTTAAAACTCTCTCTTGAAGGGGAGAATAAGGGGCAGCGTCAGTAAGGGTGGGTAAATCATCATGGTATTCAACAATGTAAAGGTTGGGGTCATCCGAAAAATCCCCTACACCAAAAACCTTTGACCAGTAGGACCCGAGCTCACGGGCGCCTGCGGCGGCGCCCGCCACCATGTTACCAGCCTGAGTCTTAAGCAAAAGAGGCGGGGCCTCAGTTTTCTTGACCCACGCAACAGCCTTGGAAACATCTTGCATATCTGAACGCCAAGCCATTTGCTTGGCCTTGGTCTGAGTTTGGTACAAGTCTTCAAGTTTCCCAAGCAACTCAGTTTCAAGGGGTTTCCACTGGCGGAGGTGCACAAACTGCTTTTCGCAGCCGTTCAGTCCCTTGGTGATGTTTTTAACTAAACCACTAGGTATGTTACGACCGTCTCGACTAAGCAGCAGCGCCTCACGAGTGCGCCGGATAGCCCTACGAAGGACTCTTTCTTGGTGCGTTTGACGAAACCCAACCCGGTGACCAGCGGGGATCAGCTTGGGGACCATACCTAACTGATATGTGCTCGGGGGTGTGGTAACTTGGCCCGTGAGGACCAGGAAACTTTGCAGATCCTTAGTAAAGAGAGACCACACATCTTCAGCTCCAGACTGAAGCACACTTTCCCACTGGGTCTGCGGACTCGCGGCCCGACTCCAGGCCTCAGCAGCTTCTTCAGAGGTCACAGGCTGACACGTGCTTTTGCGGCACTTCTGAAATTTCCAGCTTGTAGACTCAGAGTTCACTTTGGGGAAAGCGAGCAGGCCCAGCTGTGCCCAAGCAACTGAATGATCCTGACCAGAACTTGGGCGTTCCCCGCCCGTACAATGAACAAATTGCTGAGCAAAAATGCCATCAATGGGGGTAGTGGAGTGACGACCCATACCAACCAAGGTGCTGTTCCCTAAGATCAAATCAGTGACACAATAATTGAAATCACCACAACAAACCCAGGGAGCGGAGGGGTGAGAACCAACAACCGGGTGAACAAGCTCCGGGTCCCAACAGTTAGGCCGTTGGTAAATATTGCATAAGGCGAAAAAGAAAGTATTGGAGATAATTTCAACCTGCAAAAATTGACCTGTATCCTTAGCCAGGCTACCCGTGACAGTGAAAGCCAAAGGATCCCGAACGGCGACAGCCAAACCTCCTCGGTTTCTGCCGAAAGGGGCTGTAAACACGATTTGCCAGCCGTTGTTTCGCGCAACTTCAGCCTGCACACTAAAGTCTTTAGAATGCAGGTTAGTTTCTTGGCAACAAACGACATCCACGTTTTGCTTTTGGGCGTCCACTAACAGGCTTTCACCATGCTTAGCCCAACTAGAGATATTACTAGACCAAATGCGAAAAGAAGAATTGTCAGTACTGTGGGCTGATGGACCTGGGTGTCGCGCCTCACCGACCCGTTCGCCTCTTCTTCCCCTCAATGTCATGGTAGTTCCGTCTGCTTTCTCACTGAGGTTTTTACGCTGAGCATTCCACACAGCCAGGGCCCTCAGTGCGCTTTCCTTAGGACTCAAGTTGCCCTTATAGCGCTCCTTTCGCGCTTGTTTGAGCGCACCTTTACGAAGTTTGTTAAAGTTACGCCACAGTTTGACCCGCTCATTTTTGGCGGGAACATTCTTCCCGGGGTTTTTGGGGCAAGGATCCCGTTTAGGAACATCACCACGGTACATGCTGACGCCACAGTCCAGGCACTTCTGCTTATAGACCGTGAATCCTGATCGGGAGAAAGTTTTCTCACTGTCACAACTAATGCGATGGCTCCCCGGCCACCGGTGTGCATTGTATGCTTCCCAAACAGCTTTCCAAGCGATGTCATGATTATGACGCACCTGAGCAGCTTTCCGAATAGCAATGTCCTGCAAACCATGTCTAGGAAGTGGAGGGGCTTTGCTAACTCCATGGACCCTTTTCAAATGGTTAGTGCGATGAGTGAAATGAGAAGCACTGTATTTGCCGTTATGAAATTTCTGAAAGATCTGCAAACCACACAACTGGCAAGTCCACCAAGGGCGAGTTTGTTTTTCAGCCAAAGAAATTTCATGTACCGTTCCGAGTTTACCTTTAGGAGCTTTAGGCGGAGAGCAACTCAAGGCAACCGTTTGGGGGGGAGGGAGGCTGCTGCTGGATGGCGCGCTAACAATCACAGCACTTAGTCCAATACCTAAACCGCGGGGAGCTGGCTGAGGCAGCACTGGCCCTAGGTTTGTAGGAGGAGGCTTGGGCGGGGTGGCTTTTGCTCGGTCGCTGTGTGGCGCAACTAGAGCTCTTAGAAGGCGTACGGGCCTCCCAAAATTTTCTACCAGATTTGAAACTGGGAGGGGTGCTAATACGACTTCGCTGGGAAGGGGTGTTGTCAGCCCACAACTTACCAGCCCCGCGCAATCTGAGTCTGGCACTGTCGTTGAGTTAGTAGCCTTTTCCCATTCCTGGGGGATACTATATGACCATCACGCCTTTTCACCAATTGGAAATGCTCATTACGGAGATACAGAATAACGGGGGGTTTTCGGGACTTAGAAGGACCGAAAACAAAAGGGAAGGCAGAACCATCATCTCTTTCTTCAACCACCACAATTTTAACCCCGCATCTTCTGGAAATAGCATCTAATGCTAATCCACAGAGCCACTGCCCGTCTCGCAGAATGCTCTCGCACCAACTTTCAAAACTGTCAGGCACCGGGCCTCCAGCAGTTGTCGTGGTCTCCTCAGGATTCGGGACCCAAAGGTGACGATAATCGGCCTCGTGTCTTTTCAGGTGAGTGCATATATCAGAGCGAAGCGTTTTCGTGGTCGTAGCGATGTCACTTTTTGCAGTTTTTAATGACACACCACGTTGCAAGGCCATTGCAACCCCTAAGGAGTTCCATCCACAATTACCCTGACCGCCACAATCAACGATCACATACGGGCAGTCATCAACCTTGGCACGCTTAGTAACAGGCCCAGGTTTGGAAACAATAACTTGGTCACCTGACACCGCGAGGTCAGGGAGAGGAGCAACAGCTGACGGACCTTGGTCAGACCAGGACCCAGCCGCAACCGTCTTTTTGCTCAAAACGGACTTTTTTGGAGGAGGTTACTAAGAGTGAGACAAGTGCCATGGTTTTCGACTCCAAACACTTGCGAATCCTGAAATTCCTTTTTAACCTTGGTGAGAACTAACCAAGGCGCCCGAGCTGACGTCCGGCGCAAGACCGTGGTGTCTTGAAAATCAGCTGCTTCCAAACACCTTTGGAGGTCTTGCGAGTTCCACTTACTGGGGACCCCAGCAACTTGCCAAACCTTAGGCCTACTCCCTTCCGGAGCATCCTCACCAATAAGACCCAGGGAGGCACCACCCCCAATTCGGAACCTAAGCGGGGCACTCTTGCTAAATCCAACTTGCTGAATTCTGGCAAGATATTGCAGATCACTTTCGTTCTCGACCTTGGGCACCCAAGCAACTTTAGGCGGGTTCGGATTGTCTTTGTTGACCTGAGAAAGGAAGATACCTTTGGATCCCGATCTTCTCAAAGTATCAAAAATCGCATCCTGGTCAATTTTTAAAAACCCCTCAAGAACAAGTTCTTCACCACCATACTTAGTTCTATGAGTAACCTGGGACCATTTAAAGGTACTATGGAAAACACTAGGTTCAACTATGCTCTTGAGAGTAGCAGCAGGGCGTCTAGTGACCTGCACCCAAGTTTCGTGCGTCATATAACGCTTCGGGATTTGAACTCTAAGTATACTGAGCGACCTTTGAACTGGAGCAGCACTGGATGACATGCTACAGCTAGGCAAAACAGGAAACTGATCGGCTAAAGGAAAGGTTCAAAAATGTCCAAGACCGGCCCGTCCCTCTTTGTCAGCAGGAGCCGCTTGACTCCACCTGAGTGCGGTGCTTCATTTTGGCCTGGTCTGGCAAGACAAACGATAGCGAAAGCTTTCTTGATGCCATGCACCTGAGCCAAATTGCGAAGTTCAGGAACCTGGTGTTCCATTGCCCAGGTGACACAACCTTGCGGTGACTGTCCCTTAGCTAATGTTTCACGTAACTTCCCAACGTTCATGGCAGCCTTATCAGGCCAGCCCGCGGGGAGCAGGCGGAAGATCCCAAAATCTGCCGCAAGGGAAGCTCGGGTGTCTTGTCGTCATCATACACGGTGCGATCCACCACGATGGCGCTGTCTATTGAAAATGATCAGAGCCCAAGAAACTCCAAAGAGCGAGAATGAAAACAGAAATAGAGAAACAAGCACATGAAGACCTCCCTATAGCCAAGAGTCCATGAGTAGGAGCTTCGATCAACCTGCTCGAACTGCTGAGAAGCACCGAGATGCCACTTCAGGGCACGCTCGACCACAATGCTTGCAGAGAACTGAGACGTCCGGCATCATGGAACCCACCTCGGTGCATTCGTCGATCGATAATCGACCACAGGCCCATGAGCTTGTCATCATCCACCTAGTCATGGGAGATCCGGGAGCCCTGTGACTTGACGTAGAACAACACGTCGTCGAAGACCGCATCCAGGACCATCTGAGCTGGGACACTGATCCTGTTTCTGGTGTATTTGAGCACCAGTGGACCAGGGTTCTTCGAGTTTGCCTGTAAGCCGATCTCCTCCGTTGATCTTCCTGCATGAACTGCTGCGTCGAGCTAAGTGTCTCGAGCAGAGCGGGTAGTCAGATCCAAGACCGCTGATCAGCTCTTTCAGAAGAAGCTCCTGATTTTGGAAGTACTGGTTCAGCGAGTACTCGGCAAAGAACTTCAGCCACTGCAGAGACCTCTGATAAGAGGCGGGACTGGCCCTGAACTCGTCCCTCGTGTTGAGGTCACGCACCCGGGGTCCCTGTCGTGATCCTCGTGCTGGAAGAGCTTCCAACCCACCTCGAGCCAATCTGAAGCTTTGAACCTCGCGTGAGGGACCACGGACTTTTGTGCCACGGCGCTTGCGGTTGATTTTGGTTTGCCAGGCAACGCCGAACAACCCCTCTTCTGACATGAGCAGCTCCTTGGGCTTCACGTGCATGGCGTCGTCATACCTCAAGGGTGCAAAAACCATGCACAGCCACCACCATACAAAAAGGCGAGCAGGTGCCGGCTCGAACTTGTCTGTCACGAAGAGCTCCAGGCAGCCTACGCGAGCTCAGTTGAAAAGGGGACTGCCTCTTTCAGTGTCGGGGCCCTCTTCTGGGTGACCTCTGCTTGAACAGCTAGCAGGGCTGGGCGAGCAAGATCAGGGCATTCTATGGCGAGCTTTGAAGTGATCCATCTAACAGAAGTTCTGAATGAGGGCAGCACTGATGGCCCGCACTCTTTCTGATCCAGTGCAAGAGCATATTTGAGCAGCTTGTCATGGGTCAATGGGAACACATTCAAACCTTCCGCTGTTGCCCAATCTTCAAACCTCTCCCAAGCTGAAATATGAGCTGCCATGGTGCGCGGTGCCCCAGAAGATAGGACTAGCTGCCGTAAACGAGCAGTCTCAGCAGTGGACAAACCCTCACTCTTGGATGTGTCTCCTCCAGCTTGTTGGACCACTTGAGCTTCGCAGCATTCTCTTGGTCGAGCAGAGGAGTGGCTGAGAGCTCACTTGAGCCCTTCTTCAAGAGCTTCCTGGGCGGTTGCTGTGGTTTGGAAACTTGTGGCGAGCAGCCGATGCTTCAGCACTCATGCGCCACCGAAACAGGGTCACACAACCCAAAACCCAGTTGGTTGGCCGTAGAGGCAAAACACGCTTTCTCGATCGCACTTGCTAGACTGCTAGACCCCAATACTGCCCTAGCATGAACTCACTGCCGAGTAGAACATCGTGGCAGTCTGGATCCAAAGACGCCTCCCACTCATGGACCTTGACTACGAACTCCGATGCCGAATGCACCTCCATAGCGGCGATCAGCGCCAAGTTGGAGTAGGGCGATGCCAGAATTGCCTCTGAGCAAAGGCATCTGAAAATACGGGCAGTGACAAAATCTTAGAAGCCCATCGGCCCATCTGTCTGACTGATGAGCCATCTCGAACCTCCCACACTGCGACTGGGCTGGCGTCACTGCGATCACGTGGCACGATATTGATCCAAACCCTTTCACAAGCTTACAAGAGCGATTGTGAAAACCCTAGGTTCACGGAAAGGACATCCACAAATTTGGGAAGGTCCCATCGCTTACCACACGTTTGTACAATAATGATATATGGTAAACTTGGGTGGTATCGCTTGCAGGAAACTGCTGCATTGAGAAATATATATATATGTGTGTGTGATGAACTATGAATAATATGTGATATTTGGGTATCGCTAATGTGGATATTAGAGAAATACGATGACATAACCTTGAAAAGCGGTATCGCTAATTTGGGAAGGTCCCATCGCTTACCTCGTGTTTTTAACAATTTCCATCAATTTCCATAAACCAATGTCTGTCGAATACATATTTAGTATTGCCGGGGTTTTTACGGTTTGACAAATTTTCTAAGCAGAATGAAAATGCAACAACCTCAACCAAGCCTCATGCGATCGACAAATAAAATGATAAAACACAGTTGCTGATCAGCCTACATGTGGGCAAATTGAACATGCAATGTTAAGCTGGCCGAGCCAAAAAAAACAGGACATGTGTGTTCACCACACTGACCAAACTGTCACTTTGCATCACACCAAGCTGACTTCCCACAGCAACTGACCCGACCTGCACTGAGGGGCGTGCCTGAGCATGCCAAATGAATGAGGTTGATCAACCAAGCAAACTTCAAAAATCTTGACAAGCGTTTGAAAACTTGCTCGAAGATATATTCAAAGTTCTTCACGAACGTTTGGAAAATCCAAAGGATGAAAACCTACCATATTGATCAATGCAACAAGTACAACACGTACACAGCGCGACTAAAGCTAGAGGACTGATCAGCCAGGAGCCCAATACATAAACCACGGCTTCAGTCACTCTGCGTCATATCACACTGGGATCCCACAACACGTGCTGAAGGGCATATCTGAGCACGGTTGCGATCGCCCCTGCAAGCTGGTTCCCCCGAGCTGGATAAAGGTGCATGAGCGACCCCAAAAAATTGTGGGATCCACACCACGCCGCAGTCAACATCCTACCAAAAACAAAGGGAAATAAAGCACAACCAGGGCCCCCAACAGAAACTCAACCGATGTTCAGGCAAGGATGTGAGACTTTTTGGTTGAACAGGCAGACGATCAACTCTCCGCAAATAGATTCCCGTGCCCTTCTGTTGGGCAAATTTTTGGGGCCGATCGCACCTCACCTAGCAGTCAACAACTTCTTCGACCACTGGCGGAAGTCCGAACGATTTGAGTGCCGATGTTTGGTGGTACCCTGAAACAGCCGAGTCGACTTGATCAGGGAAGGCCTGTGGCGTCACTGTGTGGCTCGAGCCATCGCCTCTGCCATCCTCGTCTCGAGCAACCTCCGCTGCACCAGCACGGTCCCACCTTCTGGAGCACAGACACCGGTCACCTCCATCTGAGCAGCCGGTGTCACAGTGAGCGACTGACCTGATGCGCCTGCCAATGCACGGAGCCGGCCAGGACCTGATGCCAGTGGCGCAACAAATGGGCCACCTGTCGCTGGAGGCAGAACTGCCCTGCTCCTCTCCACATCATGAGCTTGCAACGCAAGGGCATTCTTTGGCACGATCTTCTTGTCAGTTCGGAAGAGCGGAGACTCACAGGTCAAATGAACATTGGCCGGATGAGTGTTCACCGCAACTGCCCCAATCCTCGGACCAGTCTATTCAATCGATGCCGCCTCAACTGTTGCCGTCCAATGAGCATGGATTCCTGCCAGTTGAGAAAGCTGCATGGTCTGATCAGGCCCCTCAATGCGAGCGTAGTGCTCTCTGCACCAACGGGCATTCTTGATCAGAGCGGGCCCTGACACCCTGGATACGGCCAACCATGTCGATGGCACTGCGATCTGAGAGCAAGCCACGTCGACCGAGTCTCCTGCAGAACGGAACCTGAACTCCAGCCTGTCGGCATCTAGCCCGATCAAGTCAGCAGAGGAAGTGGCGGTGATACTGATCTCAAAGTGGCACAAAGGATAGTCCATGGCCACCACCACTCCTCCATCACTGCAAGCATAAAGGCGACCGCCCACTTCAAAGGATGTGGCGGTCACTCGCCATCCCTGAAAGATCGTGACCACGCCAGATGGGACAAACAAAGTGGCGCGCCCATGTTCCTGAGCAAGGCATCGTTTAGATAATTCACCTGAACTGTCATGGCCTCATCTGATCGGTAGCCCCTCAATTCCAGGTGGAGGAGCAGCTCACCTTCAACCTTGAACTTGACATCGACCCATGTTGAGCTCTCATCTGTCATCATGGGCCACCTGAACGGTTGAAACGCTGGGCCATTACGGAGCCGGTGTTGGCATCCCATCGAGCGCACGGAACCGTGCCATATGATGTCATGCACCCCACCAGGATGAACTTGAATCCATCGAGCGTCCTGACGTAGAACACGTTCATGTGATAGCCCGAGTTTGGGGATCTGATCAACTTGCCGTCTGAGAGGATGTTGATCCCACTTTGAGCGTTCAGCAGAATCTCATCTAAGAGCCATCCCTGAAATGGCGACTGGATCCGCTTGTCTCTGCTGTCCATCACCAAAACTGAGCGCTCGTTTTCCAGAGCTCCGAGCTTCTGAATGAATGGTGGGAGCTGAAAATTCTGGGAGTTTGCCCCAGACATCTGACCCCATCGGATCCCTTTCTTCTTGGCTCGGACTTTCTGAGCAGCTAAACGTTTGGCCTGCTGTTGTGCAGACCCAAGCCCTTGGCGAGCGGCCTGATTGGCTGGGGCACATCAGCCGCAAACACTGGCTGAGCAATTGGTGCCGCTTTCAGCTACTTGGTGGGGGTGGCGGTGTTCCAGAACTGCTGAACTAACTGTCTGTGGATCACCAACTCCAGCTGCTTCAGGCTGCTGTGTAGAACCCTGAGCCGGTCGCCTGACCAGGCTGCTCGTGCAAAAGGCTCCAGGAGGGCGTCGATCCCACCATGCTTGCGCGGTCCTCAGGCTTCATGAACTCAGCCGCAGCAGCACGAGACGCAGCCATGGCCCTCTGCTTGATCAGTGGCGCCGGAGCAGAGGACGCTGGTGGGAACTTGGACATTGAACAAAAAGAATCAGAGGATCACACTAAATACCCAGGCCCCGAAGAACCTAGGGGCAAAGATTTCTAGAGCCTGGGGTGTGTGTGACCTCTGAGCTTTCACTTTGCACCAAAATGGCGTACGTACGTTCGGTCGAGCGAAAGTCCTCAGTGATCACACTCAGCAATGAACATGTTGATGCATGCTGGAAATAAAGTATATATTTTAAAAAATCAATACCGAACTAAAGTAGAGATCAATGAATGAACATCTCTTAAGAGTTTTCAACCTGCCCCAGACCTACCTAGCCGATGGCAAGTTAACATATACATATATACATATATACATATATACATATATATATACATATATACATATATACATATATACATATATACATATATACATATATACAGCTACACATATATACATATTTACATATATACATATATACATATATACATATATATATACATATATACATATATACATATATACATATATACAGCTACACATATATACATGTATACATATTTACATACATACATATATACATAAATACATTTATACATATATACATTTTTACATATGTACGTATACACAAATATACATACATACATACATACATGCATGCATGCATGCATACATACATACATACATAAATACACACGCACATAAATACATACATACATACATACATACATACATATATATATATATACATACATACATACATACATCCATCCATCCATCCATCCATCCATACATACATACATCCATACATACATACACACATACATACATGCATGCATGCATACATACATACATAGATACATACATACATACATGCATCCATGCATGCATGCATGCATACATACATACATACACACACACATACCATTACATTACATTACATTGCATTACGTTACATTACATTACATTATATACATTACATACATACATACATACATACATACATACGTACGTACGTACGTACGTACGTACATACGTACATATGTACATATGCATATACATATATTTACATTTATATAGTCAAAACTAATTGATATATATATATATATATAGATATAGATATATATATATATAAGATCTGCAAAATCCACCCACGCAATTGCTAAACAACTGCCAGCTAACAAGTCTCCCACCTTCAGCAACGACACCAATGGAACGCTCCATCAGGCGTGCTGCTTCAGGAGAGTCAGTGAGCAGATCTAAAATGGCATCACCACTGAGCTGGAAAGCTTGCAGCCTCATGTGATAGGTGTACCCCACCGCGCCATTGGTTCGATGGTTCGCCTGCAAAACCACTAATGCAACTCTGAAGACACTGAAAACACTGAGGCCACTGACGACTCAAATTTTGCAATCCTGAATGCACTGAGTTTCCATTTTCTCACCCCTGAGACAAAATTTATATCTGAAGCATTGGGTAAGTCACAGCATGCCAACAGCAAAGTTTCGACCTGTCTTTCGTGAAGTTCTTGTGCCAGTTGCCAAACAGCTGCAGCAGCAAGTCCCTCGGCTCCATCCATCAAGTCGGCCTGGTTGCGGCGTCGGGATTGTAAAGGGATTGCCCTGCAGACAACTGATGGGCCTGGCCACCACCTGTGACACCAGCAACCAGTAGGATTGAGTCCGTACCTGCCAACATTCAGGAACAAATAGATGAACCATGAATTTTAGGAGACGTGCAAACATTTCATGCTGCTTATAATTGGGGTTACGGGGAAACCTGCATAACACAAGATTCAGGAACCTTCGCAAGGGCACAAACGAAATAAAATGGATTAAATATATATATATATAATCATATATATATAAACGTTCAAGGACGTGCATGTGATCACACGCACTGCAACCAAATTGCATGCAGAGCACCTCTTCTCTCCCCAGCGACTCGGGTAAGAACGAGGAGTTGGATCTATCAACTGGTCGATCCACCAGCACTATGACAGAACAATGGATAAAATGCCTATATCGTAAATCATCACAAATCGAGAGCCAATCGAGCAAAGGCAGAATCGATCTGAAAATCCATGTACATCAAAATAATCGCATGATAAAAATAAACCCCCGCTCACATGACTAGCTAATCACTTCACCCACGCTGTTACAAATGAGGAAGGATTGGACCGACTGTCTTCCAACCTAATCTAGTACCGACCTGCATCCGATCTCTGGACGGGTGATCGGCTGGGTTGGCATGTGTCGGAACTCGGTTGATATACAGTCAGCTGAACCCTGAGCTCTAAAGCTATGTTCCACAATACGCCTACCAGCTCGCACAAATCTTCTCGAGCTGAGTATCCTTTTAGGGCTCCCTCAGAATCTACGAGCAACAAAGACCAGGATCCCACTAGCCTCTCACGAAATGTGTGCAGAGCGACCACCGTGGCAAAGAGTTCTACCATCGCGATCTGCGACTTCCTCGGAATCCACGTCTAGGGAGAAATCTACGGCGGCTCCGAACTGCAAAGGCTGAGCTCCTTTTTGAAAAAGAACACATTTGGAAATCCTTCAGAACCATCGGGGAAGCTGCCATCGGTGAAGACCACAAAATCCGGCACCCTAGGCTTGGTGAACTCAATAGGACGCGGCGGACCTTCGCTGATCAGCCACAACCACTGTTTCAATGACAGCACCAGCGCCTTGTTGAGCTTGCTGTGGTTCATCTTCAAATATATTGACGTTCTGAGAGGGATCGCAGGAAAGCCTTCCCAATCTTGCCCCAGAGCTGCGACGCGCCGAACATGAGCTTGCCGCGAAGCTTCCCCGCCTGACCTGGTGGGAAAACTTGACGCTCCAGGATGGAAGAGATCTCTTCTTCCAGCTCCACTTTCGGCGATGGCTTGATCTTCAGCAGCATATCGTTGAGGTCGTACGTGACACCACAACCCCAACCACGTGTGGACTTTCTGTACGACCTCAGAAGAGGACGTAGTCGAAGGTTCGAACCCATACTTGTCATCATAGAAATTAAAAGCAGCCACCAAAAAGATCCTCCTCAAAATACCTAGGATGGCTGCAGATCTTCTATTGTAGTTGTATACAGCAGAAACGAGACCAAAAGAGTGACCTACCAGCGTGTTGAGGGCTCACGGAGCGACATCACACTCCACCTTCTGTGATCTGGCCTGACACCGACCTGACGGTAAGCCTTCGTTTCGTCCAAGACCCACCCTTCGATCTTCTCGTCCTTGCTGATATGAGATCGCAACCAACGAAGAGCGGCGACGTTGGCATCTGTAGATGGGAGTTCGATCTTCTCCGTGATCGTAGTGGCCATGTTCACGCCATTGGCCGTGGCGCTATCGACACCACGAACTTTGTTCCTTTGGGCCACTTCGAATCTCTGTGTATGGATCCACTGATCACTGCCCAAAAGTTCACTGACATCATCCCTGGAGAACATCGGGCCCACTGTGACCCCTTCCTTGACATCTTCCATAGTGGCTGCCCAAATCTTCTCAGTGTTCTCCGTGACCTCGCATTTCTTGACGTTGCGAACCACCTTGTCGAAAATTCCCAGGCCCGGTCGGACAACTCCTGGACGGAGATCCCGTCATCATTAGCAGGCAAGCCACCTGTAGCTGCGCTGAATGGCGCCCAGGATCGGAAATCCGTGGGGCAGCGCGGCCGGCAGCTGCGTATCAATGCAGCGAGCAGCAGCCAGCATCTCTTGCGCCAGAGCGCCACATGATGAGTGACCTGGCCGAGCGCCAACGGCTCGCCGTCCGGTTGCCCTCGAACAAGGCGACGAAGGTGAGGATCTTCGACTTGGCGGAGCCACGCATCTGTTGTGGGCAACAACTCGTGCGCAGGAGCTTCCCAAGAACGAAGAGCTCCTGCACGCTGCCCCAGCACAAAATGCGGCTGAGAGGAAACCAAATTAAGAACTTCTGGAAGATCTGGGGGAAGCTCCAGGTCCATGGTGAACGGGTGAACCACGTTCAGAGCTGCCTGCACAGCTTGACCAGGCTCCTTCTCAGTGGCCAAGAGCGGCGGCAGTGCCGGGCGCTTCAGTTGGTAGCCAGCAGAGTTGGGTTTTTCAGCCGTGATCCTTTGCTTATGAAACTTCCAGGCAACCACCTGGCCCACTGGGCGTTCGCGCTCAGCAGCAGGCGTGATCGTTTGCAAGTGGCCGTCAGGGGATCCATGCCCGTAGCAGAGATCGCCTGTGCCCACACGCTGCACAGAGCTGGTGGGTAGACCTGCGCTAGGCGGATCTTAAAAACCTTCTTGCCCTTGTGGACCACCGTGCCGATCAGCGGCTCGTGGAAATGTGGCCGTACATTTTGATCACAAAGCATAGCCAAAGCTTGCAGGTCGATATTGGAGAGCACTGCCGAATGAGCTGGCAAGGTTCTCGATAGACCAACTGAGCCAGTGAGCAAGGTCGCCCAGATCACGTTGCCAGGCCAGGGAGCCCACACAAATGGTGGCGATGGCGATCTCTCAGCGGTGGAGGGCCCCCATGGTGTTGTAAAATGGAGAATCAAAGGAGCTAGCTGGCAAGAATGCCTTCACGATGAACTCCCGGACCATGGGCTCCTGGACCTCTTCGTCCTCTTCTTCGATCAAAGTTTCTTGAAGTCCGAAACCCATTCTTCGCGGAGCTTTGACGCCATGTCCTTCACCATTGCGACTGAGAGCTCCTTGCGACTTCTGGCATATTTGAGCACGAGCTGCTTGGGATCTTTCCATGCAGCTGGCTTGCAAGCCCACGATCTTGTCGTCCACCTGAGCTTTGACGGCTTCGGATAGCATGTTGACCCGCATAGAGTGCCACGTGACCTCTTGCACTGTCTTCTCCGCCATCCAGCTCATTGATTGGTTCAGTGACTGCGCTTCCATGAGCCCTGGCAGGAAAAAGCTCTTCAGCCAAGACAAACTTATAGGTGATGGGCGACTCGTGAACTCTTTCTCGTTTTTGAGCTCCCATATGAAGTAATCTCGCAAAAGGTCCAAACCAATCTTCAACCACTCAATTCCGGAGAGGTAGCAATTCTGTACCCCGCCTCTTCCGCTCGACCTTGGTCTGCCAAACAACGGCCCACCAAGCCGTGATCGCGGCAGCAGTCTTGCCCTGATGGGCCAGCCTTGGAACCAGAGCTTCCAGCGCCGGTGCCGACACCAGCTGGGGCGCCAATGGAACACAGCCTCACCCAAATCGGGGCAAGACATCGCCAGGCGCTTGCAGATCCAACCCACCGCATACTTGAACGATGGCACACGGCCGGCCCACATCCCTGATCCTTCAAGTGCAGTATCGCATCACTGCGACGATCGTGGACGCGTAAACTCTGAGACCATGAGCAGGCGACCACTCGTCGAACTTTTCCCAGTGTCTCACGTTCTGCCTGATCGTTCTGAAGCCGCCTGCTTCGAAAGCCAGCTGCTAAAGGCGATCTGCCTCAGCAGGTGCCAGACCTATCCAGGCCCCGGCAGGCTCACAGATCTGTTTGAGCTGCAGGCCCCATCTCCTCCTCTCCAAGTTGTCGGAGTCCTGGATGGATGGGATGACTTCCGCAGAGCCAGCACCCCCCCGTTTCTTCCCGACCTGCAACGGCACGGGGACCTTGTGCACAATTTGGAAGGGGCCGCTTGCCACCGATCCGTGGCGGCTCCGCCGAACCATACCCAAGATCAGTGGCTATCTCTTCTTGTACCCGCTTGGCTGAACGAGACACCATGTCTGCCAGCAGGTTGACCATGTCTAACCGCATCAGCGCGGCATTGATCACCTGATCATCGGCAGTCAGAGCCGGCAGAAAAGAAGAGAACTTTTATTCGACATCATCATCCGACATCGCTAGCCAGAATTCTACTCGTTCGAGTCCCACCTTTTTGAGGACCGATCTTAAAAAGTGATCAAAAATTGGCAGACACAAAATCCAAGGAATAGATCTATCCATGGTGTGGTGAGCCTAGACCTACCGCACTACCCTCAATGCCACTCGATCCAAGAGCTGAGGTCCCCTTGCGATCAACCAACACGGTGCGCGGATCTGAGGATCTCGCCTGCAGAGCCGGCGACAGGGCAGTGATCAACCCCGTCACACCCGCAGGCTTGCCGGGATCTAGCAATGTGTGAGTAGATCTACTCCAACACATCAAAGATCACATCATAATCCGTCAGATCAGGTCAAATCAATCTATACTAACGATCATAAATATCGGGGAAAAGAGATCTATTCAAATTCATCATTAGAAAATAAAAGGGGGAACTAGAACAAGCGGGACAAACACAACAAACATGGGCATGATCAACCCTGTCGTGTTGCCTCCCTTCTCCCTCGCTCCCACATCCCCCGGGTATGATCAACCCGTGAAAGATCAGACACTGGAAGTTCGGACGGCTGAGCTGCGGCACGTGATCAGAACCCGGTCGCCAACCCTCCTTTCTCGATTCGTCCAACGCGGACTAGTATCGAATGTTCCAGATCTAAATCATAATCTGATACAAAAACCACTTGCATCTTGCAAGTTAAAAATCGATCGACAGCAAAAGATCTATAGTGATCGGCCGTCCAACCAAAAGACTCTACCAACGTGCCAAAAATCTTCACAAGAGCGATGAAGGCCTATAGACCTCGGATGGCTTCTCAGGAGCTGATCCCGGTGCCGCTGGCTTCAATGCGCCGGCGTAGAACTTGGGCCGTGAACACAGGCGCTGGTGTGCTCTCGGGCACCTTCGATGGATGGAGCTGCCGTGACCCTGGGCTCCGGCTCCGGCTCCACCTCCTCGATCGTGGCCGTTGAAGTGTTGTACACTCGATTGGCCATCGTCTCTGCAAAGATCTGGGGCGTGAGCAACGATTCGATGTGGATCTTGCAAACCTTCGATCCATCACGATCACGGTCCTCATTGGTCGCATGCAATGGCCCCCCCTTCGCCCTGATTGGTGTGGCGAACTCGGAGCGACCGCTCGTTGAGCTCGAGCGCCCCATCTGCTTGTTCACGGGGCCCTCACCATGAGTGCTGCTCGGAGCGCCAGTCATCTCAACTTGGCCAGAGAGCCATGCATCAGCTGTCAGAGCTGGTGGCCCAGATGGAGCCGGTGTCGATTTGGAGTGCTGCATCTCTGCAAGGGCAACACTAGGAACGATCTCCGCCTCCCGCTCCAAGTTGCCCTGATCCAAGTCCTCCGACCAAACTGCCCAACTGGCTCTCGTCGGCTGCAACAGAGCTTGCCCACCAGCCTCCATAGATAGCTGTCAGTTGAGCAAACTGCTCTGTTTGTTCGGGGCCTTCCGCCCTGGCTCTGTTCTCACGGACCGATGTGATGGTCCTGATCAGGCTATAGGCCCTGAAATGCGTGACACCGTGAACCAGGTGCCAGGCGCAGAAGTTCTGGAGCACTTCAAGTCGATGCGGTTGTTGGCATCCCGATAGCAGAACTCGAGGCGATCTGCATCGTTGCCAATGATGTGTTGCACACTCGGAGCTCAAATCTCGAGCGAGCTGAGTCCCCGGCAACGACAGCACAGCCAGGACCCACCGAGTAAGTGCGACCTCCACACTCAAAGTTCAAGATGGAGACCCTCCATCCAATGAAGACAGCGATCACCACGGAGAGCTGTGTCTTGCCCTGGCTGGCCTCCTGGACAAGGAGCTCGTCCACGAACTGCTGCTGCACAGTCAAATCTGTGTCGGAGCGATAGCCCCTGAGAATCCAGTGGAACAGAATCTCGTTGCCGTTAGACCTTCACATCAGCATATGACGCCCCGACGTGTCTCTCAACACGGGCCATGAAAATGGCCGGAACGCCGGATGTGAAAGTGCACGAGCTGTGCCCTCATTCCACCCAGCACAAGGATTACCAGTGTTGCTCTCGATCGAGACTGCAAGCACCACCTTGATGCCATCCAAGGTGTAGTTGTCAAAGAGAGCCACATGGAATCCAGAATTGAATGGCATGACCTGATCACACTCGGTCATGACGTTGATCGAACTGGCCGCATTGCTCATGATCTCGGAGACCGGCCACAATGATTGGAACGGTGACACGATGCGATCGTCTCGCTTGTCCATGGCGGATTGATCCTCAGCATCGGTCGCATGTGGATCTCGTACGGGTTGTGAACATTCGATCCAACAAAGCCACCCTGACCCGCGGCTGGAGTCCACCCTCGACCTCCATATCCACCTTGACCTCGGTGGCTCTGATCGTAGCCTCGTGCGAGTTGCGGGACATTGCACGAACAAGGGGGAAGATCGAGGAGCTAAGGGGAAATGCCCAGGCCCGAGATCAAAATTTGGCCAGTGTTGGATCGATCTTGAGACAAAATGGCACAAGGTACCAACGACCTCATGCCATCTTGGCAGGCAAGAGGGTGAACACCCTCAACTGACAACTGATTATAACTGCAGATCTGATAATTGAATAAATACATGAATGAACTGCACATGTCGATAAACATGACATCAGCACTGATCAATGCAAATCAAGAACAAAAGGAAAGGAAAAAAGCAGTTAGGTTGAATGAACTCACGATTGACCCACTTATCCCAACCTACCAGACCGATGATAAGTGAACATTTATATATATATATATACGCCGACCCCTGCTGTAGCAGGGCAGCGCGTGAGAGGATTAACTTTTGTGAAGCAATTCGAAATGACATGTTGGGGCTTCTAGGCGTTCAGAAAGCAACGTTTGGCAGTCTGGGCTGCCGGCCGCGGGCCCGATCCGTCCCTCACTGCCATTTAACTTTTGTGAAGCAATTCGAAAAGACACTCTCCGTTCAGAAAGTGACGTTTGGCAGTCTGGGCTGCCGGCCGCGGGCCCGATCCGTCCCTCACTGCCATGGTGTTTTGGTGCTGCGGCAGCGTCCTTGAACCTAGGGTGGCAGTGCCGAACGGCAGGTAAAGGCAAGGTTTGCAGCTAGTTCCTATAGGCGTTCAGAAAGTGACGTTTGGCACTCTGGGCTGCCGGCCGCGGGCCCGATCCGTCCCTCACTGCCATGGTGTTTTGGTGCTGCGGCAGCGTCTTTGGGTGGCAGGGCCGAACGGCAGGTAAAGGCAAGGTTTGCAGCTAGTTTCTAGGCGTTCAGAAAGTGACGTTTGGCACTCTGGGCTGCCGGCCGCGCCCCGATCCGTCCCTCGCTGCCATGGTGTTTTGGTGCTGCGGCAGCGTCCTTGAACCTAGGGTGGCAGTGCCGAACGGCAGGTAAAGGCAAGGTTTGCAGCTAGTTTCTAGGCGTTCAGAAAGTGACGTTTGGCACTCTGGGCTGCCGGCCGCGGGCCCGATCCGTCGCTCACTGCCATGGTGTTTTGGTGCTGCGGCAGCGTCCTTGAACCTAGGGTGGCATGCCGAATGGCAGGTAAAGGCAAGGTTTGCAGCTAGTTCCTATATAGGCGTTCAGAAAGTGACGTTTGGCACTCTGGGCTGCCGGCCGCGGGCCCGATCCGTCCCTCACTGCCATGGTGTTTTGGTGCTGCGGCCTTGAACCTAGGGGTGACGTTTGGCACTTTGGGCTGCCGGCCGCGGGCCCGATCCGTCCCTCACTGCAATGTTGTTTTGGTGCTGCGGCAGCGTCCTTGAACCTAGGGTGGCACTGCCGAACGGCAGGTAAAGGCAAGGTTTGCAGCTAGTTTCTAGGCGTTCAGAAAGTGACGTTTGGCACCCCCAGGGGTTCCGAAATCGCTTAAATAAGAAAAGCTTGCTTATTTAAGGCAACCTCGCTTATTTACCTCGCTTCAGGAAAGGCTTCTGCATTAATTAAGAGAGAACATATACTTCATTAAAGAAAATTCTTTGATTAAGGATTTTTTTAAAGCAAGGTTATCTTAAATAACGAACGTTTTCTTATTTAAGGAAGGTTACCTACCTTAATTAAGGTTTTCTTATCCTTGATTAAGGTAACCTTGCTTAAATAATTTAAGGATAACCTACCTTAATCTTTCATTAAGCGAAAAAGGAACCCCTGGGCTCTGGGCTGCCGGCCGCGCCCCGATCCGTCCCTCGCTGCCATGGTGTTTTGGTGCTGCGGCAGCGTCCTTGAACCTAGGGTGGCAGTGCCGAACGGCAGGTAAAGGCAAGGTTTGCAGCTAGTTCCTATAGGCGTTCAGAAAGTGACGTTTGGCACTCTGAGCGGCCCGATCCTAAGCCGGGACACTGTTTGAGCCGACTCGTCCTAGGGGTCGGCGGCATAGGGGCGCCAGCCCCACTTATATATATATTTATATTATATTATATATATAATATAATATAATATAGTATAATATAATATAATATAATATATTATATTATATTATATCATATTATATTATATTATATTATACTATATTATACTATATTATACTATATTATACTATATTATATTATATTATATCATATTATATATATATATATATTTTTTGTCAAAGGTCTTGCAAACCCTCATACACTGTGTCTCTGCCAATCATGAGCATCTCGTACACCGTGTTCGCTTGAGAAGACTGCGCATTCCTTTTTTTTGCCTCTGAGAAAAATGTTCATCTGGTGAGAAATGCTCACTTGCACATGCGACACTGCATGCCGTTGCCAAAAGGGGCAGCTTGGCACTTACTACGATCATCGGCGATGCCTTCATGCCATTCATTTTGTAGCGAAGTAATTTTCTGCGTAAGCCAAGACCTTCTCAGCAAGTTCATCGTTTTGTGCCAGTGCAGAGGGTGTGTCAGGGGCTCCAAGCGTGTAGCCAGCATTGCCATTGAGGTATGATCCTGTCATTTTTGCCAGGCTACTCACAGGTTCCACAGCTGCCCAAGTTTGTGTTGCAGCTACCTGGGGAATGCTCTGTAGAGCAAAGAAACTCTTCCTCTCCCACTGGAGAACCAGCCAGATTTGCCGGAGTATTGCGCGCCAGCCCATGTGCTGCAACATGCCAGTGCCTCCGCACACACCTGGGTGAAGACTTACAACTGGATAGGGCACACGTTTGGCCAGTGCACGTGCCCATAGAATGCGGCAAAGATTGCTAAAGGCATAGGCGTGCAAATCGTTGTAATTTTCTTCGTGTGGCGGCAGTTCCCTGTCTATTTCAAAATTGTCCTCAACAACTCGACGGTGTGACTCTGAAGAAACAATGACCAAACGTGAGTTTGCTGTACTGCGAAGTTTGCCATCCAGCAGTGTCGCAAGCCGGTAGTGCCCCAAGAAATTTACAGCAAATTGCGTCTCAACACCGGGGGTGTAAAGTCCCCAACTGGGCACTCCATTGATTCCTGCATTGCAAATCAAACAATCCAACGGCAAGTTCAAGCTGTTGAAAGTTTCAGCACATTTCTCAACTGAGGTGCTATTACCAAGGTCGACGTCAAGGAGGTGAAGAGTTTGACCCGAAGCGTCATGGACCTTCAAAATTTCTTCCTTCGCTTGCTCGCTTTTTGTTCCTGAACGACAGGCCATCACAACAGTTGCGCCTGCCCCATACAAGGCCTTGGCACACTCAAATCCAATACCATTGGAGCAACCTGTAATCATGTAAACTTTGCCAGCCAAATCCCCTTGGCGGCGTGCTACTTCAGCTGCACTCGCCATAATCGCGGTTTGTCTGAATTGAATGTGCTGTGGTTTGTGTGGAATTTTATCCTGTGACTGGCAAAGCAAAAAACAGTAATTAGTGCCAATAGTGGTGTCAATAGTGCGTGGTACACCTCCGCAGTTTTTAGTTGTCTCGCATTTGAAACCAATGAATTTTGATAGATGATTATCTTCAAGTTAAGACTGAAGAAAAACAATGCTGTGAATCAAACGCCGACAACCAATTAACTAACTAGTTGTTTGGTCTAAATTTGTTGCAAAACGTTTTTTCACATTCCTTTGCAATTGGATCCATGTAAAATCAAAACACTTCAAGTAAGAGTAGTATCAAAACGCAAATGAATGGCAGTTTTTTTTGCAAAAATTCTGCCAAAACTCTGCAAAATTAAGTGCCGAACCGTTTAAGATGGCTTCCAAAGATGGCGCCAAATCACACATAATGATGTCCTGCCAAATCTGTGGATGGGGATGGCAACGCACAAAGTGGTTCTGCGTTGACCGAGACAAGAGATTTGCGTCCTCATTTGTTGCATCTGGACCATGCACCATGTCTGCTCGGAACTCCCTTGCACAATCGGTGAGATGCAAAACATTTCATTGCAATTTACGACTAAAAGAATTGTTTAAAATGGAAAAACGGGAAGCAAATGGTCTGATCTGTTTGATCTTCGGCCACGGTCACTGCATCACTGGAACGTCACCTGGCTCGCAACGCTTTTGGATCCTTCACTTCCACGAGACTTCCAACAGCGGTAACATCGGGCGTCTTCTCAACATAGTCCTCACGTATGACACTGCAAACAACGTATCTGACATTTAACAAAATCATTTTTTAACCTCACCGAATTTTGGTTTGATATTGTTTTTTTGTTGCAACGAAAAGAACATGCCATGTCCTGCCATTCGTCATCCCACACCCATGGTGAACCAATTTTCACCGAGCATTTAACCTGTCAAACAGCGATAAAACTCAAAAATGTTCGGTGTGCGAACAAAAACAGTGCAATTGGGATGAATCAGATTTCGTGCGTCAGCGAAAAGTAGCCTTCGCAGGTTTCAGCAAAGCATCATCCATTTAAAAGCAACCGAACAGCAAGAAGGGATTTTGCTCTGATCTTGGACAAGGTGTGTTTTCATCAATGTGTCGTTTTATCTACCATGAAACTACGTTCGCCAATTTGCTTTCAATTTTGCAATTCATTCATTTCCGTGTTCCCAAACCAAAGGTTGCACATGTATTTTGTGTATCGAATGTCTCAAGGAGCATCACGAATTCGAACCCAATCCATGAATTGCGACAAGCCATGGATGCCATGACAACGATTCGGCAGCAAATAAACCGGTGAAATAATCGCAGAATCCCACTAGAACATTCAATGCTGCAATATTGACCACGTCCATTACTAACGCCACACTACCACCATTTCCATCCATTTCCACCATTTCCATCCATTTCCACCATTGCCAGTAGTACAACCACTACAACCAACACACAATATCAAGTGTAAGTGAAAAATTTATGAAGACGTACAGAACCACGGAGTGTAGGCCCCCAAATTTCCCCGTTTACATTTTTTTATCGTTTGACCCTATCATTCCGAAATAAATTTGTTTGTCAATATAAAGGACGTATGATTCCAGTTAACTTTGAAGTTGGAGATGTCTGAAACTTTCATTGGGTATTATTATGAAAAAAGGATTCATCGAAATTGTGATTCCTTTTGCCTGTGCACACTGTAGTGTAGTGACTAGCGACGTGGTTTCGCTTTGTTTTGTGATTGTTTCCAGTCCATGATGGAAAATGGCGAAGAAATCTGAAATCAATTTCAAATGTATCTTTGTTTTACCTTTTCCATATTTTCATTGTTGTCCTTCTATTTCCTCACTTGTTCATGAGCGGTTTGCCGGTTTGCGATTTTCGTCCGAACATAGGAAAAATTGAAAAAATGCAATATATCACACAAACAGGATGTACAAAAATGATTGAAATTGTGATGCGATCGAAAGCATGCCAAATGCAAAACGCAAAGCTGACTCGTGTGTTTTCAACGTGGGGTCGTCGCAGTTGAACACCTTCAACGGTGTGGTTGGGTAATGTCTCAAAAAGTGGTGGTAGTGGGTGGGTCCTTTTTTGGACTCATGCTCACAAATTTAGTGAGCCCACCGTCACCTCCCTTGGACCGCGTTGCCACGACATGGCATGAAGTTTGTCATGCACACCAGTGACCTGGTTTTTCTATGCAACACAAGTCGATTCACTTTGTGAAGTTTCATCGTGATGCGGTGGAAAGCATGCTAAATGCAAAATTCAAAGCTGACTCATCTGTTTTCAACGTGGGGTCGTCGCAGTTGAACACCTTCCCCACTTTTTTCAAACTGCGTCGCGAACTGGCAACGCCTTGCAAGAATTTCTCCAAGCTGATGATCGCATCTTTCCCAACCTTCTTGTCAGCAACGAGATAAGGGTGGCCCAAGGATCTGGAAGGTAGATCTGCAATATTTGTTTCAGTTGGAACCCTGGCAAACCCAACATTACTATTGAAAGCAACTTCCACGCTTATATAAGTGCATCTGCATGATGCTCTCTGCTATGGCTCCTTGTGCAACGCCACGGATGAGAGCAAAGCGGATGCTGTCATTGTCACCATGACGAATTGGATATGATGACGCAAGAAGAGATGCCCACATCTCCATAGCCATGCAAACAGCCAGAAGCTCAAGTTCATAAATGATTGCGTCCTTTGAGTCCGCACCTAATAAGTTGCATTGGTCTTCATTAAGTCGGATCGAGAACCACGCAGCGCAATCACCTGCAGAATCAACAAGTACACCTCCAAGACCTGCGGTCTTGTTTTCAGATGAAAATGAAGCATCTGTAGAGATACACCACTCACGCACTGTTCCTGAATCAACCCGTTTGGGCCCAGCAGTCTTCAACCGTTCCATCATCCAGCCCAAAACGCTTGATAAAGAATCATCCAAAACGCTAGTAGACCCATATGCGTGGCCTATCAAGCGCTTCAGAATTAGAGATCCAAGCCCGCCGTGAAGAAACCCATCAGCCAATCCAAGTCGTCCTCTGAGTTTTAAAGTTTCATGGCGGTCCAGTTTCTTCCGATCCAAAACCTGTTAGATAAATTCCACCAGTTCATCTATCTGTTTCTGTGCGTTCTGAACTTTCAGAACGCCGCCACAAGCTCCACGCAGGTCAATGAAACCCCAAGTGCATTGCAAACCTCTCCAAAGTCTGTGACCTTGCGGCCCTCGGTGCCTCAACGGCATAGTCCCAACCTGTCAACATGAAGATAAGTTCCATGCTGTTGCGCGCTGAGTCCTGGAGCAAGGACTGCTGGCAAGTATAAAGTCATCATAGAAATTTGTTGTCACTAACTTTACACCCCGTGGGAATGCAGTGGAGCATCCGAGCCAGCCTCAAACACGCTGTTTGTCGCACCAAAAGGCAATTGAGGGACCTGTGAACCTCTACTTTCTTGGAAGTCCGGATTGTAGATGCAAAAATATGCAAATTTCAAATGGCTGGCCATTACAGGTACCTGACGGTGAGCGCTCTTCAAGTCGTATGTTCTTGGCAAGAAGAGTGGTCTCACGGCCCAGGCCATGCATCACCAGGTCTTCACAGTGGCCACGAACGTGTCAATGACGTGCAGGTCAAGTTTGGAGTTCAGGGTGCAACTGTCATTCACCCCTGAAATACTGTAGTCATCAATCATGCGCACCTTGTCTCCCTGTTGAAGGGGGACCTCGTTGATACCGTGGCCCCTCTTAAGGGTATCATCAGCCAATGTCCTCCAAGGTTTCGTGCACTACCGCCTGGTTTAGCTCTTCTGAGCCTGAACTCTTTGTCATACTCATAACCAGCCGGTTTCGTTTGCTGGTTTCTTCTTCCAAGTTGTCCCAGGGTGGCACAAGGCCTGTAACACGGCTGAAAAACACTTGTTGCCTCGACTGGTAATCCATGCTCAAGAGTGCCAAGCACACCCATGTCCTCGTACTGCAAGCTATCAACAGTTCACGCGTCAATCTGAGGCACTTTTTGGCAGTTGAGGGATGCCTCGTTGCAACATCCTCCTTCACGCATTTGTCAAGTTGTGCGGCTCTTTTCAACCACCTCTTGCACCAATTGAGCCTGTCGTCAGAAACTTCCGAAAATCAATCGCATCTGGGATATCAGCCGGGATTCGTTTCCAGAAATTTGCAGGATGTCCCAGCTCTGTAGCCTTTGTCACAAAATTTTCAAAATTCCAAGGCAACCCAAAGGCGACTTCGAAGCAATCATCACCGACTTTAACCCTCCCTATTAAAAAGGTGATGTGCAAGCTGTCCACGTCAAAACCGAGCATGCGCAGGTTCTGAACTTGCTCTCCAGTCTTGGTGTAAACCAGTTATTGTGATTGCAGTTGGATTGCAAAGGCAGGTGCAGAAAATGATATGGAAAACGCCAACAGCAAAAGACCTCCGGGATGAGGGGAGGCAGTTTTGTTCGCCCAGGTTGTTGCTATGCAGAAATTCTTGCAGTTTGCATCGCAAAACGCACAGCTGTCATTCACAAAAGAGGGCGTCTGGCTGCATGCCCATGTTCTGCCCGACCCACCAAGGCTCGCCGCAAACGCCCCGACCCTCCATGTTGGTAACTTTCCCCATGAAGGCGAAGCATAATGGATGATCGCCTGCTACGATGCCGCACCACAACTTCCTCCCAGTTATAGGCCTGCGCATCCATGCCAAACTACTGCCCCCGCCTTTACGGTACCGGCAGTTGGTTTCACTACTGGGGCTATGGGAGCGAGATGACAACAGAGGACTCAACTGCCGAGCCCTTGCCCAGGCAGCGCACCTCACATTCGGCCTTCCCTATCCCTTCACTGCACCGGAAGCTTGGCCGACTACCATCTCGGACCATACCTTTGACGTGGTGCAGCTGGCCCTTTTTTTCCGTCCAACGCCAGATGGCTCTCGCCAGGTCGTTTATCAAGCCGGAAAGACAATTGCATTTTGCAAATTCACCGAATTAATGTAGTGGCAACATCAATCATGACGACAATGTGCATTCAAAAGAGAACTGAATTGGATCGATACATAATCCATTGAGCTGTCACTTCCCGAGAATCTGGGGAAATAATAGTAAAAACTTGTTACACTTCTCGATCTGTGCGTGTCACCCTTGCGCAGGCGCCATGCTAATCTTCTCTGTATCGTTCCAATTTTATCGGATGATCCCCGAAGGGAATCCGACGTGGTGCAGCTGGCCCAACAAATACAAAGTGGCGGCTTGGCTAAGGAAACGCACACGCCGCTGCCTCGCTCGCGCAGGTGGGCCCAGTGGATCTTTTCATTCGAAGAGGTTTGGAAAGAAGACGCTGACATGAATGATCGGCCCCTGGTCCACGCTAAATGAAGGTGTATGGCAAATCTCTAGCGATGATATATAAATGGGAGCTGAGGGTCTCACAGCTGGGGCTCACGAAAACTACCCATGAATATATCATCTACCGACTCCTTGCCACTGCCTGCGGCTGGGATGTGTGGAAGAATTTTCTGCCAATTCAATTTGTTCACCCTAAGCTATTTCTCACTCGTGCAGTACGGCTCCTGCGAGCAGTCACAATTCGACCAGCACATGCGAGACCGCCACACTCTACATGGTTTTTTTTTTTGTGCCCGAGCCCGTTGCCTTTCGGCGGGTCTACGGTACTTGAGACTTACTCGTCTACCACGTCACGATCGCGGCCCCGTACCCGGGGGGAATCGATCCGCGGCTAGCTGTCTATGCACGGTCCTGAGATGGGCATTGTACCACTACGCGACGAGATCGCCTACCGCCACACTCTACATGGGTTACAGCAGCACGGCAAATCATCAGATGTTACCGTCCCCAAGGAAAGAGTTTGGTCCCCAATGGTGCCCGTCAAATTGATGTACGCGGCTTCTCAGCTGGGTCTTACTCTGGACTTGCTGTGCACAGTGTCCTGAGTGATTTTGCTTGCTTCCCAGGTGATACAAAGGTAGCTTCCATTGCATCTCCGCCGGAACTGTTGAGACTTGCTACAGGTGAATCGCA